CTCAAGGTGATCGCCGCTAGGGTTAGCACTCCGCGGCGGCCCCGTGCACCGCGTCCGGGCTTCCTGGGGCGCGCTGCGCGCCGGCTCCGGTGGTTTCCGCGGCGGCAGCCGGGACCGCGGATCCGCCCCGCGCTTTCCGTCCTGCTGCTGCTGCTCCCGTGTGACCTGGGGCTGGTCGTTTAACTTCTTCGTTTTTTTCTTCCCAAAGCTTTCTTGGAAGCGGCTGGTGTAACCCACTTTTCCCGCAGTGTATCAGCCATGTGACCTGGGCAGGTTGCTCGACCCTTTTCTAACATTGCCTCTTCTTTTTTGGGGGGGGGGGGGTGTAGCGGGAATCGAACTCAAGACCTTGTGCTTGCCAGGCAGGCGCTGTGCCACTGAGCTGTGTCCCGGCGCCCTTCGTTTGTTGAATGCAGTACCAGTTAAACATTTATTGGCAGTTTTCGAGCTTTCGCGTAGAACTTCTTGCAGACCGACGTGTAGAGTGCAAGCAGTCCTAGTTAGGTTCTCCGCTTGTTTGCTGGCTCACGCTCCCTTCTTCTCTCCCTCCCTTTCTCCCTTTTCACTGGTGCTGGGGTTTGAACATAGAGACTGTTGGCTTCATCCCCTACATCCCCAGTCCTTTTTATTTTGTTTTGCGACATGGTCTCACTAGTGTCTAAATTATCCAGGCTGGATTAGAATTTGTAGTGTCCTGCCTCAGCCTCCCAGAACTCTGGGATTACAGTTATACCTGAGCCAGAAAAAAAAGCCGGTATCATTTTGATTCTTGTTATTGGCAGAGATGGGGAATTCGCAACACGAGAAACTACACTGCCTGATCACTGTGAAGTGACTGAATGCAAGTTGAGTTAGTGGACAAACGAGGCTTTCTGTAATTAGTCACTTTGGCTTTTTCAAAGATACCTGAGGTTTTAAAACGATTTGTATAAGTTTGTCCATTCAGAGTTGTTAAAAAGGGGGAGTTCTACAAACCTTTGACTTGAATGGATCAAAAATAAAAAAACAACAAAATCACTGAAAATGACATTTTTTGTAGAGTTCTTTAAAATATAATTGTACTTTTATCTGTCCTGCACCAGTGACAAAAACAAAAGACGAATTTTATACTCACCCTAAACTCGTGTTGTTTACTATGAAGCAATGATTAGAATGAAAAAAAAGTTTACATTTAAAAAATGGGATATTATAGGTGAATATAAGTTTTACCCACTCTGTCTCTTTTACATTATGTATGCACTAAAAACCAGGCACTTGATATTAAAATATTTAAAACTTTTTAAGTGATAAAAGCCGTTTTTTGATGTAACCTCTTTCAAGAGAGGTCGCAAAGTAACAAAATTGTGGTTTTTTTTTTTTTTTTGTCTTTCTGAGACAGGGTCTTGCTATGCAGTTCAGGCTGGCCTGAGCTCACTGTGTAGCCCAGGCTGGCCTCAGACTCACAACAATCCTCCTGCCTCAGTTTCCCAAGTGCTGGGATTACAGGCGTGCGCCACCACACCCAGCTCACAGAATTGTTTTTATTTATTTTTTTATTTTTTATTTTTTTTTGGTTTTTGGTTTTTCTCCGGTACCGGGAACCGAACTCACGACCTTGCGCATGCGAGGCAGGCGCTTTTGCCGCTGAGCTAAATCCCCAGCCCCCCAGAATTATTTTTAAATTAAACTTTAAAGGCTGTATTCAGAACTGAGTCTTAAATAGACCTGATTGGTCATTTAGTGTGTAATAGGAGCAGAGAATTTACTTTTCATTCTTTCAGCTTTTCTGTGGCTCCTTTACTTTAGGAGCGTTTGCCATATGAGGCAGTCTTAGATGTTCAGGAGCTCTAAGTTGTTTTCTTTTTTCCATTCATGAAAGTAAATCCAATTCCTGACTGACCCTGTAAGTAGGACATATTAAGTAACAGCATTTTATTGACTCATTGACTATTGATTCATTTTGACTATGGAACTGATGTATTTGATGAATCCTCTTGTAAAGTGTTCTTTGTAATGTAAGCTTAGACATTCGCTCAACTGTCAGAAAAATAATAAAAACATAAATGCTAGAAGTGGACTTATTCAAAGATTAAAAGAATATTTGAATTAGTGTACTTGTTTCATAGTATGCAAAATGTATACACCTTAATGTAGTATTTTCTTTTTTAGGAAAAACCAGACATGTCTAAATTTCCTGTTGAAGATACTAGAAATTTCAGTATCATCGCACATGTGGATCATGGCAAAAGTACTTTAGCTGACAGGCTGTTAGAACTAACAGGTATTTTCATTTTGTATGCTTGACTGCTGTAACTGGAAACTTACCCTGCCCTCTTCAATTTTGTTTCTAATTTTACATGTAAGATTTTCTTTTGTGAAGCCCAGAAAAGTATACGTTTCTGTTTACAGGAACAATTGATAAGACAAAGAATAATAAGCAAGTTCTTGATAAATTGCAAGTGGAACGAGAAAGAGGAATCACTGTTAAAGCACAGACAGCGTCTCTTTTTTACAATTTTGAAGGAAAGCAGTATCTTTTAAATCTTATTGATACACCAGTAAGTTACATTTTCCTTTGCTTATTGTTTTCTGGGTTTTTTTTTTTGGTGTTAGTGTAACATGCTACAAAGTACAGTAAAAATGTCTATATTTAACTTTTTAAAGTTTGTCATAATGCCCCTCACTCAAAAAAGTACAGAACATTTAAAAGTACCAATATTTTTGTTTCGTAGGGCCATGTTGATTTTAGTTATGAAGTGTCCAGGTCACTTTCCGCTTGCCAAGGTGTTTTACTGGTGGTCGATGCAAATGAGGTAGGATTTATGTTATTAAAACTTGCAGTGTAATTACATTAAACCATCCTGTTGGTTGATGAGTTCATCTTTTACATTTTGATGAGAGGAATTGTTGAAGATGTTCTTTGTTTTGTAGGAGTATGATGCTCTGTTATCAGTACATGTTACCAAAACCTTCCCCACCACTGTTAGCTATTCTTATCTGAGTTCCATATCAGTTTGTAGCAGAGCTTAAGTATCTTATGTTTTGAGGTCATGTTTGCTGATTTTAAGGCAATAATTTAAAAATTGCTATGTTTAATAAAAAATAATAGTACTACTACCAAGTTCTTTTGTGATATTAGTGTAAACATTTTTAAAAAATTCAGCAAAGAGACACAGAAAGCTGTGATACACAGTATTGAAATGTTTTTGATATATGTGTTTTTCAAAGCATCTTCATTCAAGACTCAGAGGGATTTTTTTCTGTTATTTCATTGAGCGTTTCTTGACCCTGCCAAGGAAAGTCAGTCTGTACATGTATACACAGTACCAGGCTTTATAAAGTGTACCACGTGACTGTGTCCTGCAGTAGACTTTGATGCCTTTGATGCTCCATGTTACATCTGTGTGTTTCTGATGCCTGGCATAGTTCCTGGCAAGAGAGGGAATTCCAGTAATTGTTTCCTGAACTGAAAGAAACTATCACAGGGAATGATTCAGGTGCATGGAATGCATGTATTTTACTTCTGTGTGAGGCTCCTGTGGCAAGCTTAGTAGAATGTCCACTGGCTTACCTTGCTTGGTTTGGCTATTGCTTTGCCATCGGTGATCTTTATTTTGACCCTGGAGACGAAACTACAGAGAAAAGTGGGAAGGCTAGTGTTAATCAGCTTTTTGTCACCATAATGAAGTCCTTGACATAAGTATGAAAAGTTTATCTTAGGTCTGTATTGAAGGTGCTGTTCCATGGCTCATTGGCCTTGTTGCTTTGGACCTGTGGCAAGGCAGCTAACTGTAGCAGGCCTGTGCAATAGGGAAAAACTACTCACCTCACGAGCCAGGAAGCAAAAAAGAGGAAGAGGAAGGGACCAGGATTCCACTGTCTTTTCAAAGAGACGGCCTCAGTGACCTAAGGACCTCCCCTAGGTCTTAGCTCCTAATAATAAAACCCTGGGGGCCATGCCTAACAGATGGGGTTTGGGGGCGGACATTCAGAATCCAGACTGTAGTGGGTACATACATGGTATTTTGTTTAATTTTGTTACTACAGTCATTTAAAACCAATTTTGATGAAAGTGTATGGAATGCTTTTTGTGATAGATGGTAGAGTGATCATCTCATTCTTTTATGCCTTCATATTTTCAGGGTATTCAAGCTCAAACTGTAGCAAACTTCTTTCTTGCTTTTGAAGCACAGCTATCAGTAATTCCAGTTATAAACAAGGTAATCGTGGTAAGACAGCAATGGTACATATTTCAGTTTCTAAAAGTATACTTAGTGTTTAAGTGTCAGGTGCACTATTTTTTATATGAAGAAACTCCAGCTATTTATTTAGTGTGTGTCTTGGTTACTTTTCTCTTGTTGCTGAGACAATACCTGACCCCAGAATTAAAGAAGGAACGTTTTATTTAGCTCACAGTTTGTGGAGGTTTCAGTCCATAATCAGCTGGCTCCAAGGTAGAATGGCAGGGCACAGGGCACAGGCGCAGCAGTTCATGGTGGCAGAAGATAGCAAAAGCAACGAGCAAAAGGGAGGAGGGTGGCAAGGAGCCTCTTTCCCTCCCTTATATTGTATGCAAGCTACCCGCCCCAGGGGTGTGTAGCACTCACACCCATAGTCCCAGCATTGGACCATGGATCCATCAAAAAACTCTTAGAATCCTGCCCCAGGACTGCATGAGGCTTTGGGGGCACATATAGACACAAACCATAACAGTGTGCTGGTATGATTTATGTCTTTGAGCTGCATGTAACAGAAGTGCAGGTCTGAATCCTATACCCTTTTACATAGTTGAGAAAGTAATGCCTCTCAAGCTTGTGTCACAAGGGAAAGGAAGGCCATTTTTTTTTTTTTTGTACTGGGGATCAAACTCCTGACCTTGTGCATGCCAGGCAGGCGCTGTGCTACTGAACTATACCCCTGGCCTGGGAAGGCCATTTTTATACGAAAGTGATGCAGGTAGACAGAACATCTCTGTTATACTAAATGTACATGTCTGTCAGACTAAATATATATAGAAAATATGTAATAGAAAAATGTACATAGGAAAGTGGCTTATGATGTAAGAGAGAATCTGTGATTGTCTAAGAGAGAATCACAAAGCCCACAAAACATTTCAGTGCTCACCTCAGTAGTGTTTATAAGTATCAATTTATAAAAATTAAGATTCTTAATTTATAATCCTTGTAATAAATTGTATTTCTTAATATTGGAGTTAGTTTAAGAGAAGCAAGACTTGGCCAGGCTTGGTGGCACATGCTTGCAATCCCAGCACTCGGGAGACTGAGGCAGGAGGATCACAGCTAGTTCAAGGCCAGCCTGGGCTATGTAGTGAGTCCGAGGCCAATCTGAACTACATGGTGAGACCCTGTTACAGACAAAAAAAAGCGAGAAGCAAGACTGCCTATAGGTAAAACATACTGTTATCAAATTTCATGTAATGTTTAACTTAACTTTTAAAGTCAGGCCATATGATGCTAATTGATATGCTTTAAAAATTATATTGTTTATACATCATTTACATTATTTTGAGAAAATCATAATGGGTCAGTTTAAATCAGATAAGCGTTTAACTTTCTAAAAACTATTTAAACATGATACAATAATCCATTTTATTTTTATTACACTAACAGTGGATTTTTTTTTAAGATAGATCTAAAGAATGCAGATCCTGGAAGAGTTGAGAAACAAATTGAAAAAGTATTTGATATTCCAAGTGATGAATGTATTAAGGTAAAATATCTTTGTTTTGAAAAATACTGATTATACTACAAAAATTCTCAGATAATTGGACCAAGTGGTATTCGATCACATGGCATTGTATAATGTTTCTATAATTTTACATCATTCTTATAGTATTATTTCACTTAAGTCTTGCCCGAAACCCATTTTTACATTATCATGACATACAGAAATTATTGCCACATTAGCTTTAAATGAACTAAACTTCATTGATTTTATCAGTTTCCTAAGGTCATAGGGTTAGTTAGTCACAGTGCCAGGACTAAAACATGGGCCGTCTGAAATTCTACGTCACACGTATTCCTCATCTAATACCTGAGTTCCAGTCCTACAGCTAGGCTGTTAAATGAATTGGTCACTAAATGAGGAATTGTATAGTGTGTACATTACCATATTCAGAACAAAGAAATGGTCAAAGGAAAATCTAACTTTATGACTTGCTTTTATTTGTGTAACTCTTATATGCAGTACTGTAATGCATAACAGTATAAAACTACAGTACTGTACTACACAGTATGATCAGCAAAAATTATAGTACTGTATAATCAAGGTGTACTTTTACATAAAAAAAGACATTGTATAAACAAGATATACACAACCATACAAAAGAAAAAAGACAGATCTTAACTGTAAGTGGTGGGTCCTAAGTCTGAACAGTCATTAAAAAGGTAGTTCATTAAAGGAGGAATATTTGTATTTCTTAAATGCCATTTTATCCCTGAAGAGCAAGTTCAAACAATTTCAAAGCATTTTTTTCATTAATGGAATTGACAAAAAGCTAATTCGCAAAAGTTTTTTTATAAAGGTAACTGTAGGAGTTTTTAGTGTGCATGTGATATTTAGAGCTAGAAAATGGAGACATGGATGTGATTGTTATGGTAATTTAGGAAAACATAGATTTATTTATATCAAAATTGATGCCACGAAGTGTAAATTACTCACTATAATCTATAAATGAATTCGAAGAAAAGATCCAGACAAGTTACTTGATTTTTCTCTGATAGTAAATTGTTCCATGTATAGAGGAGGCACAATATTGGATGCACTCAAAGTTGAGGTTTTGCAAGCTGCTTGGGATAGGGAGACAATAGAAACTGGTTGTAAACAGTGATTGTAGGTGGTAGACTTTAGAGTCCCAGGTTGGAGTGGGAGGGAATGGGTAAGAGTAGGACATTTAGCAAATAAGAAGTTAAGGCTTGTTGCAAAGAAGATATTAGAATCTAGAGTACTGGTTCTCAGCAGGTTGTAATTCTACCCTACAGATATTTCAGGTTGTTAAAATTGGGGGTGGTGGTGGTATTAGCATCTTGTGAGTAGATGTAATGCAGTAGTTGGTACTAAACCTCATATAATGCACAGGGCAGCCTCCCCAGACAAAGAATATTCTGGCCCAAAATGTCAGTAGTACTCATGCTGAAAAATCTAAAGTCTTTCTGTGGAGAAAGTTTGAAGGGTAAGTGGTAGCTTTCAGGAATGGCTTTTGAAATCAAGATTTCAGATAAAGTCCATTTAGTAATGATGACATAGGTCAGTCACAGGCATGTAGCTGTCTTGGCTTGCTTTTGAAGAACAATGAAATATCAGTATACATTATTGTTGCCTGCCAGCTACACATGTTGTTGACCGAATATGAATAAAATGAGTAATCAAATATGGATAATCACTGCATTTTTCAGGTGAAGAAATGGAAGGTCAAAAATATGTTTTAGCTGAAGTCATACATTCCATGAAGTAACATGATTATTACTCTGAATTTTTGAACTCTTACTCTATTTCTTCAACAATATAAGGAGAATATTTTGTAATCCTAGAGCTATAGAACCACCTAAGTGTAGTGCAAATAGGTATTTGAGTCAGTATGTTTAGTTTGTGCTTTTCCTTTTGCTGTATTCAAATCCTTCTTTCTGTTTGTAACTCACAGGTCATCAGTGTAGAAAAGTGCAGTCTTTAAATGCTTTTTTTTGGCATGTATGTTTTTAGATTTCTGCTAAACTTGGAACCAATATTGAAAGTGTTCTTCAGGCAGTTATTGAAAGAATACCTCCGTAAGTATTTTGCTGTTTTTATACTATTCATTTATACTGTTCAAGAACTACAAAATCTGCCTTAACTTAGTGGATACGACAAGTTCACTTGCAGTGAGTGAGACTTTGCTTTTAGAAATACACAAAAGGAAAATATAAAACAGTAAAGTGAATGAACGTAAAGAACAATAGGGATCTCTTCTTGATAATCATAGAGAACGTCAGTACTTTGGCAATTACTGGCCTTTGTTTTACACAGACAAATATATTAGTAAATAATTTGAAGACCGTCATTGATTTGCAACTGGATATTGAATTAAATTTAATATACCATATTTTATACAAAAGTTGTTTTGGCTGTTAGATATGAACCTTTTCAAGAACTAGAATAAATTAAGCATAACACCTAAGTTGAAATTACATTTTATTAAGATTTTTAATTTTTTAAACTTATATTTAATAGTCCTAAGGTACATCGCAAAAATCCCCTGAGAGCTTTGGTATTTGACTCCACCTTTGACCAATATAGAGGTGTGGTAGCCAATGTAGCACTGTTTGATGGAGTGGTTTCCAAAGGAGATAAAATTGTATCGGCACATACTCAAAAGACATATGAAGTTAATGAAGTAGGAGTTTTGATTCCTAATGAGCAACCAACTCTTAAATTGTAAGTAATCTGTAATAGTAACTAAAATGTTTGTATGTATTTCTGTTTCTGCCGTTTTCAACTTAGTGTGCTTAGAATGATTCCAGTTGGGTAACTTGAAAAACTGATTTAATGCAACTGTATGCACAATCGTTGTCAGAAGGATCTCAAGTGTGACAAATGGTAGAAACTTTTATGGACAGAAAATATAATTGATTTGTATTCTTCATGACTAGTCATGACTAACACAGTGATGCACTGCAAATCAGATCCTATATTGATGTATTTTATGGGACAAGGAAAGAGTTAGTTTCCTATAGCCATAGCCATAGTGATTTTTTTTTTTCATTACACTTAACTTCATTGCAACTAGACTGGGCAACATAAAAAAAGAAATACAGAAATTTTCATTCTTTTCTTTAATGTGGAATTTATTGTAAAACTTTGATGAACCAAAATCAAGGAAAGGGGCTTAGCAAGGTAGTGTGCATTAGAAAAATAGATCTGAGTTCCCTTACACAACAACTGTTCTGTTGTATGCCTACTCTGTGTTAGATAACTGTGAACCTTGGGCCACAGAGTGTGGTTTCTTAGGTTCTATTGCCTCATCTGTAAAAATTAAGGTATTGAACTAGATAACCTCACAGATCACATTCAAGGGCTTAATGTTGTATGTGTAAAAACCATGGTGCTCACTCACTATATTTTTTTGAGTCAGAAAATTTATTTTCATTTTAGAGAGGTATTTGTAAAGTCTGTTTATATTCTGCCATATAGCATTTAACATTAATGCATCTTCATTTAAGATGGTTGTAGCTATATATAATTTGTTTTTGTATAGCTACTTTTTTTTAAACTAAGCTAAACCTCTAAAATTTTAGAATTTATTTTTTTTCTGAAGGACAGAAACTAGATACATGTCAGGTTTGTTGAGAGTTCATATATTTCTACTTCGTTTAAAATTATATTTTAGAAGTTTTCTAATTTTCAAAATGTGGGCAGTTATGGGGAAGGTTTTAGGCTTGTGCAGAAGTTCTTTTGGGTAATAGGTAAGACCTGGTGTATTCTTTGGCTGGTAAACCCCAGACATTGAGAATTGGTATTCCACTTATTTTACTTTAATGAGGCTTTGTTTGGAAATTATGTACTAGTTCTCTAACTAATTTAACTGTGTGCTTAAAACAGTAAATATGTGCATATAATAATTTTATTTAGATATGCAGGACAGGTGGGCTATTTGATTGCTGGGATGAAAGATGTCACTGAAGCCCAAATAGGAGATACATTGTATTTACGTAACCAACCTGTGGAGCCCTTGCCTGGGTTTAAATCAGCGAAAGCAATGGTATTTGCAGGTGAGGAGCTCACAAATTTAAACATTGAAGGCCGAGGTATTTTTAAAATAAAAGTCTGTGTCTGAAGTAAAAGAGAAATTACTAACAGATGAACACATTCTAATTATTTTAAATAACTGCTACTGCCAGGCTACTGTTGTTTGTTGTGTGTGTTATATATCTCTACATCAATTAATAAATTTATATATATGATGAAATTTTATATGGGAAATCATTTAGGACTCCTTAAATGAGCTGACATGTAGGAGAGCATGATTAATATAAATTATCTTATTACTCTGAACTTAGTTCCTTATTATATTTGAAACATTTTTCTAATTAAGATGTTTTTCTTATGAATTATTGGTAGACATTTACTGAACGGCCTCTTAGGTGGATTTTGTTATACTAGTGTAGACATGACAGAGAGTACTGTAGTCTTGAGTACGTTAACTTTGGAACTTTTTACTACTGTGTGATGCTAGAGACGTTTTGAGTAGGTTATGAAGTTACTATATAATAAGATGTCTAGCACTTGGGTTTCTTATAATCTCTCTCCCTCGGAATTATGCATTAAGTTTAACTTTACTTAGGCAGTCAGTCATTAAGATTTTGGAGGACTTTAAAGATGTGGACTGCTTAGATGTGAAAAGAAGGAGAATGTGATGAATCAGTACCTTCCATAGTTTTTGTTAGTAAATTGTGGGAAGTAAATTTTATCTTTGGTTTAAATACACAATATAAAGAATAAAGAGTTAGGTGAAGTTTTCATTTCAGCTCCTACTCTTACCCATTAACAAAGTTACATTTATGGTTGTGGAACAGCTTATGCTTTTGTTTTTTGAAGAAGACAATTTGTTTTCCAGTTAGGCCTAATTCCTATAATTCTTATTTTTCTTCCATCTAAATCTTCTGTAAAAGCAGAAAAACATTGCTTGTTGTCTGAATCCAGTTATATATTCATTAAAACTAATGATTTGGAACACACTTCACAATCAATTTAATTTAATACGCATAGATTTTTAACAAGCCAATGTTTTGTTCAATCCAGTATAGAAAAGTAATGTAAAAGCTAAATGGTCAATATTAAACTTGGCAGCACAACGTAATAGGTTTGTTCTGTAGGTGGCTTACCACTTCTGATAATGAGAAATGCATGTGTCCCCAGGAATGTACCCTATAGATCAATCTGAATATAATAACCTGAAGAGTGCCATAGAGAAACTGACTTTAAATGACTCCAGTGTGACGGTACATCGGGATAGTAGTCTTGCCCTGGGTGCTGGCTGGAGGTGAGATTCATTCATATTGGAGACTTGCTGTTTTAGAGGAGGGTAAAGTAGTGCATTGCTCATGAACATTTTTGACGATAAGTTCATCTTAATAAAATGAATTAAAACATTTTATGTATACCTTTTCCACACTGTGGCTTCCCATTTTATAGATTAACTTTTCTAGTGTTTTAAGATCTCAATGGAAGATTTCAGTTTTATTTTGTAAAATGATGTGAATTGCCTGAATGACTCTTGATTCCACTCCTGCTCTATAATGTAACAGTAAGTTCCCTCAAGGAAGTAAAAAAATAGAGCCCATGAGAAATAAACATTTTGGAGTTTGACTTTTTTCTACTAGGTTGGGATTTCTTGGACTTCTGCATATGGAAGTTTTCAACCAGCGACTTGAGCAAGAATATAATACTTCCGTTATTTTGACAACCCCTACTGTTCCATATAAAGCTGTTCTTGCATCAGCAAAATTGATAAAGGTACTGTAAATTTTTTTTATAAATATAAGAAGGAAAACTAAACGTGTATATGCAGAATTTTTTTTTTTTTTTTTTTTGGTTTTGGTTTTTCTCCGGTACTGGGATATGCAGAATTTTAAGAGAAGATTTTTAGTATACTAATATCTCAGTGGCTAGTAAAACTGTTAATAGTAAAAAGTGAACTGATTTATTAATGAAAAACCTTTTTATGTGTAATTTTTTTAACTTGATCTGCACATTATCAAAGTAGTCTGTATCTGACATGAAAATACAAAATTAGTAATAAAAATACTGTTCTAAATTTAGCACAAAGTTAAAAAATATAATTTTGGTCCTAAGTAATTTATCTTTCAAAAATTGAAGCATTCATTTCTGTGGCTGTGAAAAATTTTAGATTTTAAGTTAATGATAGGGACAATATTACTTCTAAGAAGGAATTAATATTAAACTATCTTTGGCACCTATAAACATAATGCTACAAGTCAAATTTAAATGTGTTGTTACATGATTTCTCAATGGTCCATAACATGTTTAGTAAATGTAAATAATGAAAATATATTATTTATTAATTGTTGGTAATGTTAAATGATTACAATCGGAAGATTTTTAAAAAAGAAAAAGCATGTTAAGATACTATAGCATTCAAGAATTCTTTTGTTTTTATTATCGGCAATAAATTAGTTAACAAAACTTCTCTACTGTATAGGTTAAAACATTGAAGAAAAATAATTATATTAAAATTTCTTTTTAAGAAATTGTTTATTTTTCCAACTTTTAGGAATACAGAGAAAAAGAAATCACAATCATCAACCCTGCACAATTCCCTGATAAATCAAAAGTAGCAGAATATCTGGAGCCAGTTGTTCTGGGCACTATTATCACACCAGATGAATATACTGGAAAAATAATGGCTCTTTGCCAGGTAGAAATGCATACAATTTATTACAAAAGTAGGTTTTAGACTTTTGAAACAGTAGTTTCTAGCTCAGGTTTTGAAAAATTTCCCCCTGCTCTCCAAATTGAATTTAATAAAGAGATTTTTATATGTATCTGTTTATATGTATACATGTAGGTAAAGATATGTATACTTTCTAAACTGTTTTGATTTTAAATAAGAAAAATATAATCAGTAATTTTTATCATGTATGTTAACCTACTGAATGAACACATTAGCCCAAAAGAAATTAGTTTAGTATTTAGTTATATGTGTTCAAAAGTGTGATTTCTTATGCTCTTTTTGAGTAATAGTGATCCCTCACCTATCGCGGGAGTTACATTCCAGAGACCCTCCACCATAGATGAAAGTATGAGAAGTAGTGGCGTTTTTTCATTATTTATATATATTTTAAGGCTTTATAAACCCTTCCTACACTATGAACCTTTCCCACTCTCTTATTAACCTTTCCCATACTCTTATAAAAATTTCATATGCTCTTAAACATTTTCTACACTCTTAAACCTACATAACTTTAACATGTAAAATTCTATATGGGTACTTGATGTGAAGTGAATGAGGAGAGATGCTGAACGTATGGGCACAGTGCAGGAGATCAAACAGACCAACGTTCACTGAGCCAGTCAGCACCCAGGATACAGAACACAGTGCTGTGGTTGGTTCACCTTCCATTCCATCAGCCAATAGTGTGCTGTGTACAATCTCACGTTGGCAGACTTGTTCAAGCAGTAGTGGCGTACTGCATTTCCATTGTGTATAGTATGCTATTCATCCAATGATGAAATACATACTGTATTTTATTTCAATTTAATATTCTTTTAATGTGTTTGAATTAACATTTTTTATATTTTTATATTAAAGTTTTTAGGCAAAAATAATTAAAATCATAAATATTATGTAAATACCTATATACAGCAAAATCCCACAATATAGCAAAAACTCTGTGATACAGAATTAGATATATTTTTTTTAAAAACCCATGATACAGTGAACCGCAATAAGTGAACTGTGATACAGCAAGGGATGACTATGCTTCAAATTTAATATTGCTTGAAAGAAAATTATAAAATTTTAGGACTCTAGATTGGATGGTATCCCCCATTTTGCATTGTTGTTCTCATCATACTGTAATAAGTAATCCACGAAAGGAACATAATCATGTTCCCCCAAAATTCCTATTTGAATTACTGTAAAATGTGTCAAATACTGACTAGAAGACTTGAGTTTTAATTCTACCATCACAAATTGTATTGTAATTTTAATCACTTAATTTCTCTGTAATTTATTCATTTATAAAAAATTAAGACTGATTGCAATTAATTTGATTTACCACTAAGTGAAATAATTGTAATTTACAAAAAACAACTTAAAAACAAAAGCTTCAGTCACAAGTATAATGTAACTGAAATAAAAAGTCCTACCTGTATTAAAAAATACTGCTTACTACACTGAAGAAATATTTCTTCATTTTTCCCACTCTTTATTATTAAGATTTGTGCCTTGGTGATTGACATCTTTATTTATCAATTTAGATCAATATTTGAGTAAGTTATTACTAAATACATTTTTTCTCCTTGTTTTAGGCTCGAAGAGCAGTTCAAAAACATTTGATGTTTATTGATCAAAATAGAGTTATGCTTAAGTATCTCTTCCCTTTGAATGAAATTGTGGTAGATTTTTATGACTCTTTGAAATCCTTGTCTTCTGGATATGCTAGGTAAAAAAATTAATGGGAATATCAAATGGTTAGACAACTGTTTTGAAATTCTGACAAGTATACTAATATTTCACTTGTTTAGTAATCTCAGGTCTCTTAAGAGTTGAGAATTGTATTCTATAGTTAAAGCTGGGCATGGTGGTGCATGCCTGTAATCCCTGCACTTGGGAAGCTGAGGCAGGAGGATCATTGTGAGCAGCCTGGGTTACAAGGGAGCTCAAGGCCAGCCTGAACTGCATAGCAAGACTCTGTCTCCAAAAAAAAAAAAAAAAAAAATTTTAAAAAGGGTTGCAACATCCTTTTAAGTGTTAGAGAATATCTGTAATTTGCTTATAGGAGAAAAAATGCTTTTGATTTACCATCAGTGTATTACTCTTAAAGAAAAAAAGTTAATGCTCTCTTAATGAAGAGTATATTCTTTCTAGCTTTTGGTTAACAATTGTACATACTTCCAAAATGCTATTGTGACCACAGTGGTATTTTAAAAATATAGTTGTATGGTAAGTGATCTCAGAAGCCATCTATTTACATTTGAAAACAGAAGGATATTTTCAGTCTATAAAAAAAAAATCTGTAAGTGTGCACTTAAATTTACATATATTTTAATACCTTGGTCTTCCCAGGAATAAGCGATCCATGTCATAAAAACCACTGTTGGCGCACAGCCAAATAAAAGTGAAAGGAAAATCAATATTAAATAAGGAACTAAGGACATAGCATTCTCGCAGGCTGATTTTAAAAGTGATATAACTGGAAAACCAAAGAATATTGAAACTTTTAATTTAACATTGGCCAGTTTTATTCTTACTTGAAACAGTAAGATAGAGCTGTGTCTCAGTTCCACTGATTTAAGTGATAGCTGCTACTCTGAAATATGTAACACCACTGGGAGATGTTAAGGTAAGGTATATGGGTTAAAAAATTTCCTCTTATTTATACTAAATGACTTGATTTTCCTTGGTAAGGAATCTTGTGGAAAATAACTCAAAATGCCCTCACTGCCCTAAAATACTTACAAGATAGAAAAGTATACAGTAGAATATGAAGGATATAAGAAACATACTGGGAAAGTAGAAGGGAAAAATGAAGCACACACAGTGCACTTATATTAGAAGAAAATTTCCAGTGTTTTAACCTGCCTCACTCACCCGGATATTTAACTTTGTGAAATGAGCTTTTCAGTGAACAGAGTATGTACAGAATTTTTTTTTTACCAAAGAAATCTTTTTGTTTGTTTATATTGAACACTTTTCTACATTGTCATCCAGGTTTTTTTTTTTTTTAGATTTTCTTAAACAAGGCTTTCAATAAGTGGCAATTAAATTTAAAATGAACGAGGTGACATTTTAAACAATTACTATACTTAAAGGGATGATTAGTAGGCTTAACGTTTGTATAACACTTCTAGCAAAAGTGGAAGAATTTCAAGTTCTCTTTGGCTACTACGAAGTTAAGTTGTTTTAAAATCTTTTAGCTTGGCAACTTAAACACTTCAAAAATGGTTTAGTTGAATGACATAAGAATATATTGCAGTTTCCTAAGTCACATGTAATTCTTATATTTAAGATGGACATTTATCAAATACAGTCAATTCTGTACTTAACAGAAATTCATTAGATCATAGATGCGTTTCCCACATTCTCAGTTAACACTACAGTACCTGTTTGAAATGATGGTTTAGGTTTCCATTATTTATATAATGGTTTCTTTTGAAAACATAAGGTATTCTAAAATTTTGGAGCTATAAACATCAGAGGATACATCCACGTTTTCTCTCTTTGTATTCTCCATATTCCTTAACATGGTGCCTTTAGTAAAGTTGTAATAAAGAGAGCTTTAGCAACACGTGAGGCAATAATTTGGTATTAGAGTTAAAATTTTAGAAAGAAAACGTATTTGCAGTTGACACTTGTTAAAATTAAGGCAAAAGGAATATACATATTGTCCATGATAGGAAGACTTGTAAGCACAATGGAAATTTTCCCTCTTAGGTATTTAGTTTTGTAAGTTAAACATTAAGTTTTGGCCATATCGCTAATAGTAGTAGCTAAAACTAAGTGCTGGTATGTGCTCTGTTTTAATCAGTGTGCATTAGGTAGTACTCCAAGTGCTGTACCCGTGTTAACCCACTTAATTGCCACCAAAGCCCTGTGAAGCTGCAAACAGAAGAGTTCATTAATGCATGGCTGTTTGTCAGTGCCATACTACTTACTTAAACATAGGGTTGTCATTGTTAATAGAACATGAAGCAGGAACTCAATTTATGAATCTTGACAGTGATCCATTAAGAGTATTGGCCAGAGGGCAACATTGGAAAGGAGGTGCCACTGACTTCAGTCCATTTACCTAGTTGAGCTTAGCCTTGTTCTTCCCCTCTCTGGATATGCTTTGTAAACACGAAGATAGAACAGATGTTCCTTTTCATGCATATTCAGATCCACTTACATAAAAGTGTATATAATATTTTAATGAAAAGTTAGATAGGGGGTAATATAAGGAAAAGAGACATTCTTTAAAGAAAGAGAAATGTAATCTGCTGGGAAATATGTTTATCACTTGGATGTTTTTTCCTTGTTAGCTTTGATTATGAAGACGCAGGCTACCAGACTGCTGATCTTGTAAAAATGGACATTCTCCTGAATGGAAATATTGTAGAAGAGCTAGTAACTGTTGTACATAAGTAAGTTGAATTGAAACTTACCATGAAAGGTAAAAATAATAGCTCCTGACATATTTTTTATTGGTCATTTTTATTTGAGAAGTTCCATTTTAAAAACATTTAAAGATAATTAAAGTAGATTTCTCTGTAATGTTACCTTCTATTGATTTTCCACACTCTTTTCCAATGTGCTCTCTGTAATGTTACCTTCTATTGATTTTCCACGCTTTTTTCCAGTGTGCTATATAGAGTAAAAAACTATAATACCTACAAAGAAGAGTGTCATGGAAAATATTTCGATTACATACCTTATGAAAATAAAGAAGTTTTTAAACTTTATAAATGATGGTTTTTGGATTAACAAAAAAGGTGTTCTGTTCATAAAAAATAATACTGAAAAACCAATTATTCACAAACAGGTTGCTTAAGATGAATTAGTGAACACCTGTGAAAATTTAATGACAAAAATGTTTAAGTAGGAGAGCAGGATGTGTAAACTGTGGTCTAAAATTAATGTGCAAGAAAAGAATAAAGGATATATGTTTAAAATAAGCATAACACTTTAACAGTGTTTTCTTTAGGACAGGGAAGGACATCAAGAATGTTTTTCGTTCTGTAATATATGTGTTCCTAAATTTTATAGAATTTTTTTTTCTAGTATTACTAATTGAACCCTGGGCCTTCCCACTGAGCCACATCCTCGGCCTTTTTTCATTTTTCAGATTTGGGACAGCAAGCTGGGTGTGGTGGTGCATGTCTGTAATCTCAGCACTCAGGAGATTTAGGCAAGAGGACTGCCATGAATCTGAGGCCAGTCTGGGCTATAAAATAAAACAAAAATTTGGGACAGGGCTTCATTAAGTTGCTAAGTTCCCCAGGCTTGGCTTGAACCTGTCATCCTTCTGCCTTAACCTCCCATAGTACTGGGATTACAGACATGCCCTACCACACCTGGCTCATATTTTGTAAAAGCAGAGAAATTATTCATGGTTTAGATACTAGAATTTTTTTTTAATAATAAATGAATTCTATTTGAATCTCCTTTAAAAAAATCACCTTTATATTATTTATACATATAATCTTTAATAATTATTAAGATACATAAATAGCTGTATTTCTTTTTTCTGTCTTAGAGAAAAAGCACACTCTGTTGGGAAAACTATATGTGAACGTCTAAAGGATTCTCTTCCCAGGCAGCTGTTTGAGATAGCAATTCAAGCTGCTATTGGAAGTAAAATCGTTGCAAGAGAAACGTGAGTTGGAATTGATTTTTGTTCCCAGGCTGATTTTAGAAGTGATCTAACTGGAAAACCAAAGAATATTGAAACTTTTAATTTAACATTGGCCAGTTTTATTCTTACTTGAAACAGTAAGATAGAGCTGTGTCTCAGTTCCACTGATTTAAGTGATAGCTGCTACTCTGAAATATGTAACACCACTGGGAGATGTTAAGGTAAGGTATATGGGTTAAAAAATTTCCTCTTATTCACACTAAATGACTTGATTTTCCTTGGTAAGGAATCTATGTCTTTAAGGTTTTATCCAGGTAAATTATAATCTATTCAAGTAGGTTATAAGGGAATGTATATCAAAAACAGAAAATTAAAGTTTTTGTACCTTAAGTATCTAGGGAGCTTACAAATCGAAAAGAAATACTAATTTCTCATTAGGCTTTACATTCTCTACTGTTACGGTTTGTGTCTGTATGTCCCCCCAAAGCCTTATGCAGTCATGGGTCAGGCTTCTAGAGTTTGTGATTGATTCATGGACCAGTGTTGGGATTGTGAGTGTGAGTGCTATACCCGCCCCAGGGCAGGTAGTTGCATACAATGTAAGGGAGGGAAAGAGGTTGCTTGCCACCATGCCCTCTTTTGTTCTTGCTGATTTGCTGTTTTCCGCTGCCTTGAACTGTTGCCCTCTGCCCTGTGCCACTCTGCCTTGGAACCAGCTGAGTATGGGTTGACACATTCACAAACTGTGAGCTAAATAAACCTTTCCTTCCTGAATTTTGGATGTCAGGTATTTTGTCCCAGAAATGAGAGAAGTAACCAAGACAGCAACATAGGGACCTTGCATGGGTTATAGTGTACACATGGAAGATTAGTTGTTTTGTATAGCTAAGTGGTCTGTTACATGAAGGACAGTTTATTGCTTCTTGGCCTTTCCACTAAGACCAAGTGTAGTATCCATGACGGACAGTTTATAAATCATAACACTGAATAAGCTGCTCTACTTTCACAGCTAATACAGGAAGTATTCTATGGTACTTTTAATTTATGATCTTAAGGTTTCGGGGAAATCAAAAAGACCTACTCATGCAAAGCTGGAAATTGCCATTAAATTCTGTCTTAACCCAAAGCTAATGAAATACTAGTGGTTATTTTATATAGACACAAGATGAATTTTATGTCTATTATTTGAAGTGAATTTAATTTTTGTAACACTATTTTGCTTCATGAAAACACACAAATTAAGCAGAGTAGAGATGATAGGGGAACGTCCTGGAAAGTATAATTTAAAAGCCTATATGATCATCTAGCAAAATTGTGTTGAGGGAAAGAATTCCTTAAGGAAACAAAGTAATTTTTACATTTCAGAGAATACCTAAAGGGAGCTATTTTTCAAAATCAGAGATAATATGGAAATTTTTTAGAAATTTTACAATATTAGAGCTTATTGGATGAGTATATTAAAATTATATATAAAGTAGTTTGCTTTGAGATGGGTTATATAAAAGCTTCAACCAAATAATATTTATATTCCTGGCCATACCACCACATATGTTGGAGTCAGTAATGAGATAATAACCATTTTTAATTTTATTTAAGTAGTAACAATATCTCTAGGCTGAACCAGAAATAACCTGACACAATTCTTGTGTTAAGGTCACATCATATTCTTGATTTGGCCTAATCATGCCTGATAGATGTAAGCCTTGACTATTTTTCCTTTAATAAAGTGCATATACATTGATAGACATGATGCATTTACTGCATGTTTTATGCTAAGTACATAAAAATAAATGCAAGAGCATTTGAACTATTTTGCTTACAGGAATTTTACATAGGTAATGACACTGTCATTAGAATATTTTGGTAAAAGGCAATTGTTTTTGGAGATAGTTATGAAAAGTAGGATGAAATTAACATACTTAAGTAAAATTTCCTCTTTTACAGTGTGAAAGCCTATAGAAAAAATGTTTTGGCAAAATGTGTACGTATCCAGCTGCATATATTCTACTTTGTAATATGTCTGTTTTATGGGTTTAAAATCAAAAGGGGAATAAATATACTGATTTCCATTGCTTGTTTTTATATGCCTTATTTCTTTTTAAATAGAAAGTAAAATGCAGTTTGATCACCGTAATTCATTCATTTTGGCTACATTATTAAGCATCTTATTTGTAAAATTCCCTCCTATGAAATACTAAGGGAGGATTTTTTTAAACAGTTATTTACTTGATCTGGGAACATATGTGTTGTTTTAATATGTAATGAAAAATTTTCAAGATTATGACTATTACAGTGGAAACACTAGTAATTGGTATCTACCTCTCCTATATTGCTTTGCCAAAGTTTCCTGTCTCATTTATTTAAATTTATTAAATCATTTATTATTAAGAACTGATTTTTTTTAAATGCTTAGCACAGCTTCTGCCCCATTTACCACAATGTAAGAGTTTGCATATGAGACTATAGCTATACATTCCAAAATTTTAAGCTGTTAACTTTACAGATGTCTACTTTATGGATATACTTTGGTATAGTTTTTAGATATATATTGCTGATTCTATGTAAGTGTATGATTATTTTTCCATGAAGTGATCTGGACTTAAAATTTTTCAAAATATTTTTCAGTATGGTGGTGATATTACCCGAAAAATGAAACTTCTGAAGAGACAAGCAGAAGGAAAAAAAAAACTGAGGAAAATTGGCAACATTGAAGTTCCAAAAGATGCTTTTATAAAAGTTTTAAAAACACAATCTAATAAATAATTCAAAATTTTCATAAATTAAAATCTATTATTTTCATAATAACATAATATTTTGACAACAATGAAAATTTTAAAACTTGCTTCTTACTTTCAGGGTTTTAAAGTTTAAATAATCTACTGGCTTGTCCTTAAAAGAGCATTGTTCACAGATCCGAGGTAGGATTTAGAAGGCGTTTACTTTCACGTTTCTGTTCTACTCACTGGTCATCTTGGCTAGGTTATTTACCCTTTGTAGAACAGTAAAATCAGGATTACACTAGGGGCTGGGGATTTAGCTCAGTGGCACAGCACCTGCCTGGCAAGCACAAGGCCATGAGTTCAATTCCTGGTACCAGAAAAAAAACCCGAAAAAAAAAAAAAAGAAAAGGTTACACTACTTTACCTCTACAGGTTGTTATGAAAATTAAATGATTAAATGTGTGATACACAGTTAAGCATGGTGGATTTTAACTTTTTTTCTTCATGCAGGTTTAGTCCTTACGCTAAAAGGCCCTATATTGATGGTTCCCTCTAGTTAAAGATTTTCAAGATCACTGAAGTATCAAAGCTGGATCAATTTACCCGATATATATGAATTATTTACTAACGTAAACTCAACATACTATTTAGACATTTGCTATGGCTTTTGATAAGATGTTTAGGTATTTTATCAAATGTCACTTAACTGTATGGTTTACATTATACTTCTAAGCTAAGACTAGGGCAGGGGGTTGTTTTATTTCTGACCATGAAAATGCCTTTATGTAAATGATAGGTATATGGTGTTAGTAGTATGGGCTACAGAATATTGCCTAAATTTCATACCAGAGATCACACAGCCAGTAAGCTGCTATATTAATTCAAAGCACTTAATGCCATTTTCATTCAATCAAGAAACAAGCTTGCAGAATATATTATAGAAACAAGACAATTTAGCCATTGATTTTTGTTGTCTACCTTGAAGGAGAAAAATACCTTTTAGGGATAACACCATCAATGATGAATTTTATACACAGTGTGTTACATTATGGGATAATTTTAATTATAAATTAAGATAGTAAGGATTTGCCAGGCGTAGTGGCATGTACCTGTAATCCCACCACACAGCAGACTGAGGCAGGAGGATCACTGCAAATTTGAGGCCAGTCTGGGCTACAAAGTGAGTTCAAGCCCAGTCTGACCTGCATAGTGAAACTGTCTCAAAAAGACAAAATTTAAAAAATAGTAAGGATTTAATAACTGTAGAATTACTATAGATTTAATAACTGTAGGATTTAATAATCTGTGGTTTGTCTTGTGTATATAATCTGCTCATTTACTTTTCCCTTGCCCCAAAGGAACAGATAAAATATGAATCTCCATAACAATAGTATTTTCAAACCTGGCAGTGTATTTGAAATTAAGGAAACAGTTTTTAAATGAAATGTTGTGTTCATCCATTGTCAAGAAGAAAGTCACAAATTGGTACCTGCCATATAACATACACTGTTAGTAGGTTATGTAATATTTGTGACATGTTATTCTCCTTTAATCTGTGACTCTTCAGGAAATAGTTTTGCTTGTACTAATCCTAGTACAAAACAGCATTTTTTAGGCTGATTATTTAATGGCACTTGAGATTAACCCACGGGTACAGAGCTGCATACCCAGCACTTTTTCTTTTTGAGATAGGGTCTCCCTAAATTGCTAAGGCTGGCCTCAAACTGGAGATCCTCCTACCTCAGCCTCTTAGATGTTTTTAGTGATTTGGAGCTGTGTGTCTTACAAGGACATAATCCCCCAGCGACATGATGTTACTAAGATTTCTACAGTGATATATATGACTGTTAAAATAGTTTAAGTTTGATATGTCGCCACTATGCTGAGTTCTATATGCTTCCTTTATTCAATTTATGTAACAGAAGAAAAGCTAAGATTTTTTTACCCAAGGGCAGTTACTGACTGAGATGGAATTCAAACAGTGTGTTTTATTGCTTCTTGTGAAAGTAAGCTTTCAAATTCTTTAACAGAATCTTACCTTCTGACTTGGGGAGTTACAGAGGCCAGAGAGCACTTTACTGAAGAGCTAGAGTACATGGACCTACACTAGCCTATTAAAGCATCAAAACAGCTGTGAATAGCACACCAAAACAGACACCTTTGGTTTTTTCACTCTGATCCTATATGACCAGAGATAGTTAAGGCAGTCTGCAGTAAACATTTTTTGTTACCAAAACTATTACTGCCAGATGCTACTGATAACACCGGTTAAAAACCTTTTGTAAGGCTATTAAGCATATTTTGAATTAATGTCAAGTAGCATTATTTTACTCCAGGAGTCTTATCTCATTTTTAATTTACTTGCTATTTAACTTTTTAAACAACTTACATTTTAATCATAGGCTATTAAGGAGATATGTAAAGTTTCTTCTACAAAATGTGCTTATAAAATGCAGAACATGCAAAGGATTAGATGTGTCCTTTTACTTCCTTGGGACACAAAACTAAAACTATAGGTAGAGACTGCCTTTAATTTAAAGTTCCTGATTGCATAATGGCAACAAATTAAAAGGCTCACAAGTACTACTGTTATAATCTCACAAATACATATGTTGTTTCACTTCTGGAAATAAAATTTAGATAACTTCCTTATTATTAATAAGCTTTATTTGAGTTAAAGATAGAAAACAATATAGATCTATAATTCAATTTATCACAATCTGAAATAGTTTACAGTAATTTTACATATATTTCGTAGTATCCTTTTGGACATATATAAGGAATAAAGCTGATCATTTATGAAATTTAGCAATAATCAAAATATTCTTCAAAAGAATTTAAGTCTATATAAAGCTCATAATTGCCAAGTTATGTATACGGGGGGGGGGGCATGAACCCTGGTCATTAAATAAAAATAAGAGCATATTTGTAAAAATGTGCTACGAAGATGCGCAAAAAAACATGCATTTACACGTATTTTCCAAAAAGATACAAACTACATTTAGCACTGTCATCTCTTAACATTTCCTTTACTAACAATACGTTGCAGGACTTTGATGTCCAAATACTACTGCTGAAAGATGACTAAGGCAACACCGTGCAGAAAAAAGAATGTGTGTAATACACAGAAATCTAAAGATAGCATTCTGAGAGTAAAGATTTGCAGTGATAGTTGTATGATAAATGAAAGGCTTGGAGTGTCTGCCTCTAATTAAAAAATAAAAACCTGCATCATGTCACACATGGTACCTACAGTGCAGAATCTTTAAGTTTAAAATGAAACCAGCAGACATTTGTATGCTGTTTTATAGATCGGTATGTAGCTTTCTGTAATTGATAATAAACAGCCATTTAACTTTGAAAGCCAAATATTTCTCATAAATCCTAGTATAAAATAGACATTCTAAATATGGAATGTTAAACATAGATAATGGATTTTTAAAGTGGCAATCTTCAGTATTTCCCATTATTTATATCATATTGCATAGCTGAAAATTCATCTACTAATAAAGTGGTGTTTCCAAGCAGAATTTTGCTTCAATCTCCTTCAATTTCCTTCTTTCATACTGTATAGTGGATCCACAAGTTTATTGTGCACATGCATTAAACCTTAAAGAAAAAAAGCACAATTCTAGTTGTGTTTTTGTTCATTTTGATCTATCTTTAGAAAACAAGATATTTAGAAGATACAATATTTTGTTCCCGTCTGATACAAAAGAGTCAAGTTTAGTGAAAAATGCAAATAGAAATATTTTAAAATATTTAGTTTTAACTACCTAGCAAATATCAGTTTAGAGTTATGAAACTGCAGGTCTAAAATGTACTTTGGAAGTAACCAGAGTAGGAGCAGTTCTTGTCTGCAGGAAGCAACAGTCTGACAAGATAACAAACTTGAATACAATGTGGATAAGGTATTTCAATTACATCTAAAAGTTTTTGTATATAGCTCAGTGGCACAGCACCTGCCTGGCATGTGCAAGGTCCTGTGTTTGATTTCTGGTACAAAAAACAAAAACTGATTTGATCCTCTGTCAGTCCCACTACTACATTCCAGTTGGGGGCTAGAATTGCCATTACACTAAAATAGCTTTAGTCCTCCACTATATTACTCTGTACATTCAATTGGCAATTTTCCACTCCTTTGAATATACATTTATGAAAGTGTTGATTATAAGATTGATAACACAGTAAGGTTTATGAGAACAAGACAAGCCTGTATTAAATAATTTAAGTAGAAATTTAGATTTTACATATAAGTAGGTTTTAAATTTCTTTTTAAAATTGGTATACATGCTTAAGAGTGGAAACTTTAAATTTCTGTGGATTTTAATTTTATAAAGGATATATGTTTGTGCACAGTTTCACCTATTAGAGCTTCCCTTCAATACAAGTACTGGCTATTGTTAAATATTTAAAAAAATGTAAAACTTGTCTTGATAAAAACCAAATTAAGTCAAAACCAGGACTAGTACCAGATGATTACTCTTGGGATTACTGGACTAGAAAATAGACATGTTAAATGCCTTAAAACTGATAATGAGTATTGCTTGTGTTAACTTTAAGGAACTTAACACACTTGTGATGAAATCGGGGGAACCACATGGAAATATATAGGTAAAATTCCACCTGCAAACTCCTGTTATGCACCACTCACCACTGAGGTGCTCTCTGTTTCTACCTATCAAATTACAAAAAGGCCAACAATTCCTAATCTTAATTTGATATATCTGTGGCTTGGTAAAATTCTTAATTTAAATGAGGAAAATATAAGAGATAAAATAATGCGTTACACAAGGAAATGTTTAAATTTTGCTACATCTACTTGATTACCCATTAAAATGCTTTTGAAGAATATTTAGGAAGGAAAATGCGTACAAACATTAAATGCAAATATAACACAAAACTACAGCATGATCAAAATTTTTCTTCAAATGAGTAGTGAGATTTTCAGTACTTGCCAAACTACAGTGACTTACATACACTTTCAATATGCTATATTCTAACATTTACATTAACTGTAAGTTAATGATTTCCTTTAACTGAATTATACATACTGTATTTCTAAATATTAAATGCTGTTTAAGACACCATCATTTGATGTACTGTTCACAAATAACTTATCAGATAAGGTATGACATGACACCAATTTTAAGACATCCCAATTAAAGATCAGTATGTCTGAGAGTAAAATATGGTTTCTTAATCTTGTCCTAAGCAATGATATTAATGAAAGAGAGATTTGACTTATTCAGTACCTTTTCTCTTAATCAGGAGACTAAGATTAAAATGTATATTCACATATAATAGAAGTAGCACATGTACTAAATATCAGCCATATAAGTACAGGTGATTTATAAAGAAATAATTTTCATAGCCTGCTTATGTGTTTGGGTTTACATAACTTTTAATCAAGTAATCGGTTCTAAATTTAATGTAGTAAAAACATCCTTTAAAATCTAAACAACCCAATATGCCAACATCTGTAATTTTTTTTAATATATAACCAGGTTCAATAAAGATGGAGAATTACTAAAATAGAATGAGTGAATAAATAAATAAATAAATAAATAAAACAGAAAATCATGCAGAAGTAGGCAGTGAAGCTCAAGTGAATTTACAGTGTTTATCCTCTGGAGTTTTGAAATGTAGATATTATAGGGGAAACTGAACCCATGATGATTAAATGAGACAGTGGGGGATGCATCAATCATGGATTAGGTTTTAAGTAGAAACTGGAGGTGGGACTGGTAAACATGAAAAGAAACTCAGAAAACACATAGATGCACATTCTGTTTGGTTATTTAATGCAGTATACTCACTATCAAAGTAAAATACTTTATTAAATTTTAGATTTCAAGAAAAAAAAGTATGGAAAATCTAGATATATGAGATTTTCTTCATGAAGGAAAATAAAATAGGGTACCTCTCTGAAAGCTACTCTTACCCCAAATGAAAAGTCTTAGTCCTTGAAAAATTTGCTGTTGTATCAGCACAATGCTAGTTTTCAACAGGCCTCAGTGTGGGGTTTACTACCCACAGTAATACGTTTTGTCATGTATAACAAAATATCTCACACTTTGCTTTTGAAATTCAGTGCTCACCTTTAAAGTATTTCACAGTTTTAACTCTTAATTCTAAAGTAGCATCTTCATCGCATACAAAAATAGTTCTGGGATGCTGCTGGAAAGCTGACACAGTCCACATATGATTGACTCCTTCTTCTATTGCTTTGTACAAGGCGAATGCCTTGTGTGCACCCGTTATGAGGATCATCACCTGAAAAATCATGCACATTCATTGGTAATTAATAGATAAAGCATGTTTCAAATGAGTAGGTACTGAATTATGAGGTATAAGTATACTACAAACTATGATTACCACAGTAAATGCTGATGTATAAAAGAGACCCAAAAGAATAAAAAGAACCAAAAGGGCTGTCTTGCAAAAGCAGAATTACCAGCCTTGAAAGGATTTATATCACCTCAATAATACAGCAGATCACTGTAGTGCAGATAAGCAATGCTATTTTAAGAAAGCGAAAGACTTAAACAACAGATATTCAAAGTGTTGTCTAGAGAAGTCAGACTATCGCTTCACTGAATATGTGTAGTTACCTAGGTTTTCAAACGAAAGTAAAATTGAGGAATGACAAACACAAGATCTATCTTTCAAGCAAACATGACTGATTATACTCTTAACAAACTACAGAAAACCCATGATCTTGGTCCTAAATCTCTAACTGCCTATGAAATAATTCAAAGAACATATACAAACGTGAAGTGTGTTTCAGAATGAATCTTTTGGTTTTAGCAGTAAATCTATCACGGTTTGCAACTCGGACTACGCACATAGGTTAATGTAATGTTTTAAATCTTTAGAGATATTTCTTATTATAGTTGTTAATAAATGTTCGGTAGGCCAGACGTATTTGTGACAACATAGAAATTTTGTATGTGTACATATGTATGTGTACTGTACAAATAGATTTTCCTAAACAGGAAACAAGGAATGATTAATAGATTAAGCCATTATTAATTTTTATCATAATTCAGTACTTGGTTTTCATTGTGAAGTCCTACTAAGATATGTCTCAATTTCCACTAATATTTTTATTGATACACTTTGTTAAGTGTAAGAAACCAAGCTCAACAAAGAATTTAACATGCTGTTGCCTATAATTATAAATTATATTCACCCTTTGAAACAAAAATTATGTTTGATAGGATAACAACGTATAAATAAATTTGTAAAACAGTTTTCCTTGCTGAATATTATCAGCCAATGTTTTTTATCTTAAAATGCAAGTATGTGTTACAGAAGGAACTAAAAACCAAAAGAACTACAGGTTTTTGTCTCCATTCTAATGCCGTATAATTCACAATATTTGTGACCCAGGGATCAGAGCCTCTAAAGTGACGATTATGCATACAGTGTGGCAGAAGTCCTTTGACCAGCACTTGAAGAATCTCTATAAAGTTAACTCAACAGTTTTCAGTACATGAAAATGTTAACTGATTGCTGCATAAAGATATTTTCCAATGTTTATTTCACAGAATTTTCAAATATGGTAAGATTCAAAGATAAGTATAGAACTCAAAACTTTACTTGAATTATGCCACGTAACTCCTCAGAACAGTATTATGAGATAAAAATTATTGCTATTTTACAGATAAGAAAGCATAGATGCTCTGTACATTGCAAAAAGTTTTGGTAAGGCCAAGATACAAACAAGTGCTTTGATTGTGGGGTCCATATCCTTAATAATTAACAATTACATTATTCTATCTCTTCAAAGACATAAAAAAATTATTACAGGTCTAATAATTAGAAAATATGAGTAAGGAGTCTTTACTCATTAAAGCATATACTGTAGAAAGGTAATGGCGTAGGTAGCAACAAATCTCAGCATCAACTGTACACTGGGTAAAATCTGAAGATTTTATTGGTAAGGACCGTAAATACTAATATTGTACTAGTACTAACTAGTACAGTCAGAGTTAAGAGTCAAATGAAAAATAATAATTTGGTATTTGTGGCTACGTTGTAAATATAAGAAATATCTGAAAAAGCAGAGATTAAAAAATAGCTCTCTAAGTATAACTTTGATACTGATTTGTAATCTATTCTAACTGCTCCACTGTTTTCAGTGACAGAGTCCTCATATTATGAAAAAAGACAACCGGTATCAGAATAATTTGAGATGCTTTCTCAAATGACAGAATCTTCAAATCTGAAGAATTTTTTTTCTTTTTTTTGTCTTTTTTGAGACAGAGTCTCACTATGCAGTTCAGGCTGGCCTCAAACTCGCAACGATCCTCCTGCCTTAGCCTCCCAAGTGCTGGGATTACAGTGTGCACCACCACACCCGGCTGAAGAATCAATTTTTGATGTGGACAGCAGTGATTATACTGGCACTGAGAGAACCAGCGCACTATATAGCCTTAAGATGGCAAGGATACCTGAAGAACAGATACATAAATTATTGTACTCAATGTATAAAATCTATTATATATAAAATAAAGCACAATAATAATATGATAGGAAAACTCAGAAAAGCTGTAGCGTAGCTCCTCTAGAAAACCAAGTCCTATGGACAAACAGAAAATCTCCAGGTAATGGGGTATTTCAGAGTTATAAGGTAGTCAATGAAAAGCTAGAGCCAGGTGCCAATGCACACACCTGTAATCCTAGCACTTGGGAGGCTGAGGTAGGAGGACTGCTGTGATTTCCAGGCCAGCCTGGGCTACAAAGTGAGACCATTTCCAAAAAACCAGAAAGTAAGTAAAAGCTGGGGATGTAGCTCAGTGAAAAGGCCCTAGGTTCAATTCCCACTATGAGGCAGGGGGTGCGCTAGAAGTTTGATAAAGGTGGAGCATATAGACCCAAAAGAAAATGGCTGCAAACTGAAGTCAGAGACATTTTTGCCGAAGTGATGAGACTTGATTTTGTAAAGGAGTAATAGAAAATTACACATACACACTTACAGAGATAATAAACTGAAAAACCTTTTTGAAAAAATTATCCAGGCAGTACTATAGTGACCGGCACAGGTAAAGACCAGAAATAGCCATGAGTTAGAATGGGTTTCTACCTCAAAAAATTTATGAGACTGAATTGTGGTTGCAAAGGGGGCTGGACACTTATTTGCACAAGTTATCTGTAAATGGGACTGACTGGGAAGCATTAAATGTGGAAAGGCAAAAGGTGAACGTAACATAAATGTGTGAAGCACAGCAAAGTTTTTGTGACAAATGCTGCTTTTCCCCAGGAAGAAATATTCTGAAGCAAAGTAATTTGGGTAGAAAGACATTTAAATTTTAAATAGTATAAACTAAGGAGTCTTTACATCTATATGTGAGCAAATAGCAAAAATCCTCTCTGTGCAGCTTCAGAAACAAGACTGGCTAACGATATGCATTAGCAGGTTCTCTTTATTGACAGTAATCTATTTTAGAACAGGGATGAAACTACTGGCAAGAATATTGAGTGCTGTGACTATTATGGACTGATGCAGTACTTTTTAAAGTGATCATTTAAAGTACTGCATCAGAAGTACTAAATCATGGGGAGAAGATTGCCCAGGCAGAGTATGTAGAATGAGCATACAGTGCTACAGTGAAATTGCAGGGAAAAAAAACCAACCAAAACATTCATAAAACAGATGAAGAAGGCAGATGCAGGAAGAAGAGCTGGGAAAGCTGGCAAAGAAGAAATGGTCAGAAAGGAGAGATGATGCAGAGTTTTATAATGACAGAATAGTCGACAGTGATAAGAGGTCCTGTAGGTAACACTTGGAGAGAAGTCACTGGTCACCTCTGTGACTCTAAGGGAGTAAAAGAAAGTATACTGTAAGAATTACTGGTGTTCCTGTATGCTGTCATAAGAATAGCCAAATAATTAAAATGATATTCTAAAGGTGATGCAATAGCTAAAAAAAGTTTGTGTCTTTGAAAATCACTTTCAAAATATATGACATTATCTTAAGCTATAACAATAAGAACAAATTTTACCTTTTCAAGGTAAAGTGGTTTCTGGAAAAACAGTCAAAAGTCATTAAAAATCCATTCTGGTGGTTTGGGTACACAAGTACACTGGTCCAACAAAAGAGGTGGTGTGTGCTGAATTCTTTATAGCTTCAGATAATTACAACTTAGTTGATTCCTGAACGTTAGTTGATTCAATGATTTAGTTGATTCAATGATACAAAATTCTGTGACTGAAAACTTAGCCACAATTTTTATTGCAAGTAGGATATAATATATCACTTATTATGTATTATAACCACTTCAAAATATTTAAGTATCATAGAAAAAATAAGAACATTTAATTCTTACTTCTCTAGCATCCATCACTGTCCCCACACCAACAGTGAGAGCCATAGTTGGCACTTTTGATAAATCTCCATCAAAGTATTTCGCATTTGCCAAAATGGTGTCCATTGCTAGAGTCTTTAATCTTGTCCTTGATACTAAACTGGATCCTGGTTCATTAAAAGCAATGTGACCATCTGGACCTATTCCTTTCAAAAGAAACATACACACACATAAGCATAAAGTAAAGTAGGTTTCTCACATATTGTAAATATGTTTTCTCAAAGATCTACATAGTTTTAAGAGCAAGAAAATAATCACAAAGACACTTACCTGGTCTTATTTTATAGCTGAATTCCTAACACTTAAAATATTTGTGTGTTTTACTCAACAAACTATTTCCATGTGTTCTACATGCACAGCATAGAGTTTGCAAGATTCTATTAATAGCAGTAAATTAAGTTTAAAATTAAGTAAAATGAACACTTTACAATTTATAAATCAATTTCACATAGATTATTACAGTAGATATATTTAAAAACCTTGTTAGATGGTAAGATGAGGCAAATCTATTTTTGTCCTCTCCTCCACCTTTCAAAAGGAAACTCTGATGCTCGAAGAAAATAACTGACTCTGGCAAGGTCACTTACAATTTAGTAAATACCAAAGCAGACTCAAATCTAAACATTCTGATTCCTAACATAGTGCTTTTTGTACTCATGCTTTAACTTGCTTGGTTCTAGTCCAGAATGGGGCAATTAACTAGTGGACCTTACTGCAGTACAGTTTCCTCACTCATAAAAATATAGATTGGACAATTTGTCAAACATTTTTGACTGTAACCTATTGTAAGAAATAACATTTGACACTACAGTCTTGTATACATACACATCTCACACAAACATCTAAAATATAATTAAAAATCATATAAAACCATATATAGCTTTACTAGGAACCACACAAGCTATTTTCTATTTTATTCCATTTTATTAATAAAATAAACAAAAAGGAAATGCTATTTGTGACTGCTACTTTGATTCTGCAACCACATAATGAAGGGCAACCAGTTTGAAAAATACTGCTTTAGGCAGAATTACAGATAATTCTCATATTCTAGGATTGCCTCTAAAATACAGGTAAGAACATAAATGCCATTTCTTATTTCAAGAAAATGGTAAAAAAAATTTTTACAAAATAATCTATAAAATAAATAAGTGAACTTTTATATACTCTTATCCTAGTAGTTAAATTAGCAACTTCAATTAAAAACTAAAAGTTCTCTAAGTCATGAAAATATATTTTACACTTATAATAATGTATTAGGCATATTTTACTGACATTTAGCATACAACTCTAATATAAAAATTTCACAGACCACAACAGCATCGGGGGTATAGCTCAGTGGTACAGCATTTGACTGCAGACCACAACAGCATAAAATTTGACAGCTACCTAGTTCTGAAGGGTCAGGGGAAAAAAAGTATGAAGCAAATATAAACTAGTAAAGCACAACAATCTAAGAACGTTTAATGTAGTGTCATAACTTTTTAATGTGGGGGCTTAATATCCAAGGATAATTTCCACTGTGAAGTACAGGTCTACTTGTAAATTAAAATTTTTTTGGTTTTTTTGTTTTGTTTTTTTTCCAGTACTGGGAATTGAACTCATGACCTTGCGCTTGCCAGGCAGGGGCTGTACCGCTGGGCTAAATCCCCAGCCCCATAAATTTAAGTTTTAATTACCTATATCTTTCCATCTAGACTTGCAAAAGTACTGTTTCTCCTCTTAGCTAAACGTATTTGTCATTACATGTAAAGTACAAAGGATGGAACCAGGAAAATAAGATCTGCAGAAAAACTACAGTCTGCTAAGATCAACACTCGTGTTTTTACTGGTGACTTAGCCACATGGAAGAAATTATGAACAAAGGTTACTAACAGAGACATATCAACACATGACTGTCCATGAGTAACTCAAAAAGTGAAATTGCTGATACAAGTTTTTAATCAGCTAATTCTTATTCAGACTAAGTTTAAGATATCAGTATCTATGAAATATCTGAAAAAACTCATTGACTGATATGTCTTCGTGTTCTTTTAGTTCTGTGGGTAGAATATAAAACTTCATGAATAAGGGTTTTATGTATCTTTACCATTTAAAACAACAAATGACACATAGGAGGAACTGAAATAATGGTTGAATAAATGAATGGGATGATTGCTCTTCTTTGGCTAACTCAGTAATTTCTTCTATTCCTCACCACAAGGGCTCAGATGACCATAATTTGTTATGTCCCTGTCAGGCAGAGTGACTGTGGTCTAGAAATGAACATTTGTCTCAAATGAACCAAACAGAACCACTGTCCAGGGCTGAGTATTGACATGGGATACAGAAAAAACAGAAGACTTCTAGAAATGAGACACTAGATGGCAGCACTGCTGGGAGAAGGATGAGAAATACCTACTTCTGAGAGCTAAGGTTCTCTCATTCTTGTTTTTCGAAAGACAGCTATTTCAAATCTTCCTTCAGTTTTGTGAGTTACCCACATCATTCCAACTAATTTGCTTCTGGTCCCATTAGTCACTTCCCATTATCAGCAAACTAAAAAATTCAATCATGTAGCAAACCAAACCAAAGCAAACCAAACCAAAACAAAAAACAAGTCAAAATTGTCCCTACTGTCTTAGGAAAAAAAAAAAAAAAAAAGATACAAGATTTGTTTGTGCATCTCTTTGCTGGGGCTAGGTTAGAAATTCCTGATATGCTTTATTCTTTCTCCTAACACTTTTGTCATTAGAGGAAAAATGAGAGCTTTTGAGAATATATACTTCCTTTTCTTTTCCATCAAGGGAAAGGGACTGCCTGCTCTAATTCCCTGGGGTGAGCAGATTAACATTCTTGAGCTCATTCTGACTTCAAGACCAACCTACAATCTCTATTCCAACTTTACCTTCAATAAAGCTGATATTTTGATCCCATTTGGCAGTTCTTAGTGTTTTTATTAACCAAACCCTGGAACAAAAGAAGGGCAAGTGGTAAGACCCAGATACCAAGCCTTGTCTTGAAAAATCCAACGATAACAAACCTAAATCAACAAAGAATCAGACCAGATTCTTTCATACACATATATATCTCCAATAAACAGGTTACGGCAAACAGGAAAAGAAAACATAAGTGAACTATTTCCTTTTCATGCACAGAGTAAGCCAGTCCTTTAGACGGAACATATAAAATGTCAAACCCTGGATCATCAGACTGCAATGAAGTTAATGGAGGAGACAAGGAAAGTCTTACGAATGGATTTTTTTCTTTGTTGGGGAGGAAAGAGACAACTAGAGGACGCTTAAGACAAACTGGTTAAAAAATAAAAACATTTTTTAGTAGTAAAATCAGTGATAAACATAAACAGTTACAATTTATGTTCCATCTACTTTGAGGGGAGAATTGAGGTAGTTTACAGTAAGGAAACAAACAGAAAACTCCAGTTACCTACAAAGAAATGAGAAATGACTTACAGCTACGGGAAAGATGAGTGTTCTACTAGAAATCAAGTTTACAGAATGGCAGCCTAAAAATTACCCTTAATTATCAATACTTTCTGGAAAGCAGGCAAAAGAACAAAATACAGTTAGACAGTCCTTATCAGGTATTTTCTTCAAGTAATTTCTATTTCTGGGCAACGACTCTGCTAGGGATTTGCTACACAGATCCATAAGTAAGGTTAATAAACTAACAGGGAAGACAAAGTCCACAGATGAAGATGGAGACATTTTTCAAACACTCATTTAAAATAACCTCTATTAACTAATAGTTTTTGGTACAACAATAAATCAGTGACAACATTTTCTGATAAGACTCAGTGTAGATATATTATACTCCAGCAATTCTACTTGATTTTGAATGGAGTTTAGAAAATCTAAAGAGTAGGTTGTGAGCATACTACTAAAATACAGGGGTGGTGGTATACACTTACACTTCCACTACTCGGGGAGGCTAAAGCAGAAAGATCACAAGTTTGCATCCAGCCTGGGCAAATTAATGAGATCCTAACTCAAATATAAATAAAGTAAAATTCTTAAAAAGGGTTGGGGCTATAGCAAAGTAACTGAGTACCCTTACGTTCAATCTCTAGTAGCAAGCAAAATCAAAAGAAAACAAAACAATCAAACACTGATGTCTCAGCCTTCAAATACGACAGAAATGATAACTATCTCAAAATTAAGCCATATGTCCCAAACTGGAATGTGCAAATGTTTTCTCAGATTACAAAAATAATATCAGCAAGTTTTATTTAAAATACAGATAACTATCTTGAAAAAAAAAATAGATTAACTTACATTCTTGCTTAGATCAAAAACAAAACAAAACCCCTTTTTACCCATTTAAGAAAGTAAGTGGTATTGGCTCTCTTAAGCAGGAATAAAAATTTATGTGAAAAGAAATTTCAGTCTCCCTAGGTATCCTTAGAAGTATTTTAGTAAAAACCTCGGGGAATTCAATAAACTAAGGGGCAACTATGTTAGTCTCTATAGTTTAGTAATGATGAGCTAGAATTATAAACTATATACCATGAACTGGTTTTAGACATTTAAGACATGTCGTTGTGCTTAATTCTCACAAATTTTGAAATGGCTAATATTAACTGTTTTGCAAATAATTTAATTAAAATTGTCAGTAAACTTACCAAAGATAATGAAACCAAATTTATGTCTGACTATAAAACCCAATTCTGTCCAAGAGCAACCAACTCTCTCAATTATACTTGGCTACTACTTCAACCATAAATTAATCTCAATATAGCTCTAATTATGTAATGTTGCATTTCTCTAACTACAGGATACACAGTGGTAACTTCATGTTAATTTAGAATAGAGTTAGTACTTTCAGTTGAATACTATAGAATCTAGCAAAAAACAATTTTGGGATTAGTTTAATTAATATACTATTCTTACAGCAATCAGCTAGCTGTCTCAGATTTTTCATACTAACAGAAAATGATGTTATTAGAAAGGAAGAAACTCCTACAGTTTTCAGTATATTATGCACACACACACACACACACACACACACATAAAATATATAAATACAGGTGAAATTTACACAAACATTAATTTTGGAATTTATTTAGAAATTTATAGTTTAATTCATATTATCTAAAGGATGAAGGTAAAATAAGTTACATTATTTTTAACTGATTTTTCTCAGTGAGATGAAATAATTTAAATGATGTGCTAAAATCCACCCATGTCTCATGTAAATATTTAGATTCACTTCTCATTTCACAAGTAGACTCTGATGGTAGGTTAAAAATCATGAGAAAGATAAAACTATAATTTAGGAAGGTCAAGATAAACAGGTCACTTATTTTTACAGATGTGATGAATTGTCAGCCTTAAAGAGGTAATCAGAAGTTTAAAAGGAATTTAGACCTACCTCTTAAGACATAATTTAAACAATTCTGTTAACTGTTAGAATTTTAAAGTAATTATTTTGATGAAAAGTATAATAGAAATCCGTCTATTTCGGCTTTAATGGATGGTATTACAATCATGGGCGTTCTTTGGATAGTGCAATGGTAAGATTTTTAAAAAATTTTTAAAGCACTCAATTTAAATATCAGCAAACAATTAATGACAAAAATCTTCTTACATACCTCCAACAAAAAGATCTATCCCTCCAGCTTCTTCTATTTTTCTTTCAAATGCATCACATTCTGCTTGTAAATCTGCAGCATTCCCATCAAGGATATGAGCATTATTAGGATCTATGTCAATGTGCTTAAAAAAGTTATTCCACATGTAAGAATGGTAGCTTTCAGGATGATTTCTTGGAAGTCCTAAATAAGTTGAAAAAGAAAAATTTTATTGTTTTCAAAACTAAATTTTAACTTTTTATACCATGTACAGTTTAAAAATATTTTACACAGAATAGATGTTTATCATAAACCCAGTGCTGTATTAATTTATATGTTAATATAATTATTTTGTGAAACATCCATGGAAATCCTACCATCATTCTCATTTTATATTATTATTATTTTTTTTTTTCTGGTACCAGGAACTGAACTCACAACCTCACGCTTGCCAGGCAAGCGCTGTGCTACTGAGCTAAATCCCCAGACCTCATTCTCATTTTATAGATGAGCAAGTGAAACACACAGCATTTTTCCCAAGGTGATACAGCTCATATAAGGACTGGGTTGCAAATATCAGAAATCTAGTTCATGTTCATGTAACCACTATACATTTCTCCAACACATAAAATTGTAATCAATGAAAGTGATTTATGTATTAAATAACTGTTCAACTGAAACACTGGCCATGTTCCTTTCGATTCTTCCTATATGCATGCAAGTACACTGACCCATAAAAATTCTTTGGCTATCTCTTGTGCTACCATTAGAAATGTCTTCCTGTATTTATATTTTAATACAGGGTTTTTACATTATCAGAGGTATTTCCACTTAAGGAAGTTAACACTCAATATGTTACAAAAGCTTCATTGGTACTAATACAAATAGGCTTTACTTTGGATAAAAAAATATTTATATTACTATTTTTACATACACATCACTTAATTTATCACTACCATGTTGGTTTCTAATTTTACATATGTATTTATTTATTTTTTAACTTAGTGGTTATGGGGACTAAATCCAGGCTCTCCACTCAAAACTACACTCCCTTGGAGCTGGGGATTTAGCTCGGCGGCACCGTGCCTGCCTGACAAGCGCAATGTCGTGAGTTTGATTCCCGGTACTGGAAAATTAAAAAAAAAAACCTACACTCCCAGGTCATGTTTTTAAGACTAGGTCTTGCTAAATTGCTTCATTCGTCTGGCTGAACTCAAACTTGCTATCCTCCTGCCTCAGCCTCCCAGAGTGCTGGTTTATGCACATGACAGGCATGCACAACCACACTTGGCTTACAACACTGCTTTTAACTACGTTGTACGACTTATAAATGGCAGAGCCAAGGATGAATGCAGATTCTCCGATTTATAGTCCTACATTCTTTCCATGATATATAGTACTGTCATCACAAGAATACAGATTTTTAAACCTGTATTTAAAATCAGAAATAAATTTGCAATCTCATCACAAAGTACAGTACATCCTAAGTACAAAATATCGATATGAAAAACATTATTCCAAGTGATACAGTAATGCTCTAAAATACACCCATTTTATTCAAAACATAATATGTAACATATTCAAATAACATATCCAACATACTCAAAAATATCTTACCTACATATTCATCCATGTTAAAAGTTTTCACATATTTAAAAGAAAGGTCTCCACTCTTGTGATACTCTATTAGTTTTCTATAACATCCTAAAGGTGTACTCCCTAAAACAGATGAAGATTTAATTTTATAACATTACTGGAAAAATCTATTTTAAAATCATTTATATAAACAATTATTCATTTAGTAATCTTATTCATTTAGAATTAAGCAAGAAATCATTAATTTAAATGCATATTTATTAACAAATATAGTTTGAACTAGTCTCTTTGCAAGGTATTTTAAAATTTTAGTAAACCAGAATTCTTAAGGCTAAAAAATGTCAATAAAAATTAGAATTTGAAAAGTTATTCTGGAATTATTACATACTTGGAAATATTACTGCAACTTCTAAGAATACAACCTAGAGGCCATATTTGAGTTAAAAGAAAATAAGCATCCCTCTTTTTGAAAAAAGTAGACATAAAAATCTTAAGTTCTAGCACAGTTAATGTACAACTAGGTTAAATGCTGATCATTTACCAAAATCTAAAGAGAAAGAACAGCTACTTTTATTACTGCCCCTACTTTAAAAATCGATTCTAAAACTAGTAAGATTAACTGAGGAACTAGTGTTTCAGCTTTTCAATTGGAGCTTCTATTTTTCATTTCATGTTTTCTTCAGTAGGTATAAGCTAAAATGCAGTCTAGAAAAAGTACTGTTTAAGATATGGAGAACTTCTAGAAAATGGTATCTTGGCATTGAACACTTCATTCTGATTTTATTCTCTTATAAAGTGCCTTTTTACATGTTTTATATTTGCAAAGAGATTTGTTTGGAAATGCCTCACGGTATTACATACTAAACACGTTTTCCCAAATGTGAATGGCCTCCCCCTTTGTTTTCTAAGTTTACTCTATTTTGTATTATACTTCCAAAGTAACAGGCTAAATTGACTGCACTCTTGCAAGTGACCTGGCCTTCTTAATCTGGTTAGAGTATTGATTCCTAGTTCAACCATCATCACAAAACCAAAGAAAAACCTTCACACAGACTGTCTACTGAAATAGCATATACAAGTTCACAGAATCAGTCTCTGGCCAAAAAAAAAAAAAGGAATTTCCTGGGTAGTAAAAAGACTGCATCTCAAATGTACACAGGGCTACTGTGAGGTGATGGGATCATGATGGCTCTAACCTCATCATGGATTAAAACCACTGATGGCCGTCATAGCTTCATTTGGAGGTAGTACAAACTTTAGGTAGAGGGACCTAGTTGGAGAAAGCAGGTCATTAGAGGTTTCCCCTTGAAGGGTGTACTTTGTCCCTAGCCTTTTCTCCTCTCTCTCTTTCCCTTACCTGGACATACTAGGTGATCAGCTTTGTTCCACCCATGCTTCCTGACATGATGTTCACCCTCACCACAGGCCCAGAAAAAAAGGGGAGCAAGTGAGCATGGACAGAAACCTCTGATACTCTGAGGCAGATAAAACAGTTGCTCCTTTCAGTTGCTTTTCTCAGGTATTTTATCACAGTAACAGAAAACTGATTAACACAATCACACACATGTAACTTGTCCAAAAAATGGACAACATAAAGGAATCTTGTTTCTTTTCTGAGTCCCTCAATTTAAAGATATGAACAAAAAGTGACTATGGCAATGACAGAAACATTCATTTTCTACTTTTTAATTGATGCATGAAAGAAAAAATTGAAAAATACAGTATGGAGTAAACTGGTAAAACAAATTTCATTTTTAATATTTTCTTTGCAGCAGTCATTTCCTAACACAAGAGGCATTTAACAAATTCCTACTATGATTTAGATACAACAAAGATATTTAGGACTTTTTCTGTCTGAGAAAAATACAGGGACAAGCAAGCACAAAATAACCATGACACAGGAAAAAAAATAAATAAATAGAAGTCTGGAGTACTGCAGTGAATCAAGAAAAGAGATGATCACTTTGTTGGAAGCATGTTCGAAGAAGATGGCATTTCAACTAAATCCTGATGGAGGATAAAATTCTGATCAAGCAAGCTCTAACTGAAAACATATAAAAGATGAGGGTAGTGAGATCCAAAGATGATTATCTGTATGCTGTCCAGGAAGCTAGGTGCTGTGCTGGTGTTTTTATGCTTAACCTGATGTAAGACTCACAATTTGGGGAAACTAGAATTGGCTTTCTCATTTTGAGACAGAAGACCTGGATTGAAAGATTAAGGAATTTGCCAAATATCAAATGGCTGTGAAGGCAGGGATTCAAATCTAGATCTGTCTAGTTCCAAAATTCATATGGATTCGATATAAACACACTAAGCAACATGAGTACAAACAAAAAGGAAAGGCAATGAGCAAGTTTAGGCCTATTCTTTTCCAGCCCAATTCAATGAAAAAGAATGGGAGGAATAAGGTTGGGAGGTAGATCAGGCCCACAGCAGGCCTTTAAATGTGAAGCACATTAAAATCACTCCAGTATATATTAAACAGGTATTCCCCTTGAATTGTGCTTGGTGGGAGAATAACCATGATATACCCTGTTACCTATAATCACAAATATGCATGTTCAAATTTCAAAGCAGTGGGGCAGGTGAAAGAGGACATAATTAACCTTGCCTATGATCTATGAAAGAAAATAGCAGAATATGTCAACGAAGGTTTCTCAGAGGTATTCCCTTGATGGATGTCTTACTAGGTGGTTATAGTACCAGAAATAAAGCTGATGTTTTAGATCTAAATATTTGAAAATATGTTTAGCACTGCTAGCTAGGATGGTAAGGCCTTTCTGTCCCTACACTCAAATTACTATTTCTGCATCACAATGAAGACAATATAATTAATACAGGTAAGCTAAAAATAACCCAGGTTTACAGTAAATATCACCAGGCCCACATAACAGAGCTGAGTGTGCCACATGGCTGTGCAGAAGCGGTATGCCTAATTCACAAAAATTGCCATTTGACATGCTCACCGAGATGGACTGTCCCGGACCAAACAAGAACAAGCAAGCAACACACAAAACCAACTTGGAGAATATCATTCTGGGAAATTATCCAAGAAGAAAAAATTATGATTATAGCTTTTCTGTAGTTAAAAAGTAACGGGGTAGGAATGAGAGAAAACATTCTAGCTATTATTCTTCTTATCTTTCTTACAGGTAGGGCAAGCAAAGCTCAGGTATGTAGAGTACATACCTTTCCATCATCAAAAAGCAGTTCTGACTTTATATCTAACACCATTTGAAAAGTCAAAGGTTAACGAAGTGCTATAAGGTCAGGACTTTATTTGATATTGATCTCATAATAGCTAAAATCTTGGAAGGAGCCTACATGTTCATCAACAATTGAACAGGTACAGACAATGTGGTATTTATATACAATGGAATACTACTCTGCTGTAAAAAGCATACATTTGAATCATTTGTAGGAAATGGATGCACCTTGAGACCACAATGTTAAGTGACATAAATCAGACAAAAAAGCCTAAATATCACGTTGTCTCTTATATGACAAACCTAAAGTATAAATAAAGAGCAAAATAAGATAGATAATTGGCAACAGGAAGATAGATAATTTTGCAAAAAGGAAAGGGATTAAGAGATGGAGGAAGGGGAGAACAGGGGTATAAAAAAGAATTAAGATATGTTATGTGCACATATTTACTCTCCATAATGAATGTGATCACTATATACCACAAACAAGTACAAATTAAATAAAGTAAGCACCACAAGAGCATAGCTGGTTATTTTTTAATACAACTCAACAGAAAATGAAATCATATGATATATAATTAATGTATAAATTTATTTTGTGATAATGAGATATAAATACCCTAAAAGAAATCCAGACTACAGAAGTGAATCAAAGAAAAAAATATAATCTTGCTTGCTATAAGAAGAATTTTCATTTCTAATACTTGTATAAAACAAGGAGAATAAAGAGATAGGAAAAAGCTACTAAGAGAAGAGACTCTAACGCAGGTAAAGTGAAATTAAGAGAGAATACCACATACTTTAACACCTTTGACAACTAGTAAGGAAACTGAAAAAGCACATGTATAGTGAAATGCAATGCCCCTAAAAGTAAAGGACTACTAAAAAAAGGTAAAAAATAAAAATACTAGGATAATCATTTAAGTGACAGTATTTACTACTGCATTTTGGGGTAGTAAGTGAAACAGAATTTTAACACAGGAAATAGTAACAAAATGTAGAGACTAGATCTTATGTATACACACACATTAAACACATACACACATATATGCACATACAGCTTTATATACTATCATGTTCAATTAGTGATACAGTCAAGTAACAGACAGGAAAAGTATGTTACTCACAATTTTACAGCCTGAGTATCTAGAAAAAGCTGTACCTTACCTGTTGGTAAGCCCAGCGTAAAGTATCTGTTCTGTCCAGGTTTGAACTGAATGATGCGATTACAGATGTATTTGGCTGCCCATTCACTAGCCAAGTCATAGTTATCAAGGATTACAAGCCTCATGACGGTGATGCACAGCTTGCCGCACAAGACGTTCAAACCTGAGAAAATTCCATCGTACAGCACTTTAAGGAATTTACAAACACTCAAACAGAAGTGTAATAACATTGAAAGGGGCATAACTTAACAAGAACATGCACATATAAAAATATAAGCAGTACCTTCGAAACAGTAATAATAAATTTCTTTTGAGCAGACCTTGACTTTGAGGCAGTGGGCTAGCTCACTTACATACATATATCAATCCTTACATTAATCTTGTGAAGTAAATAAACACTCAATTTTAGATGAGACTCATAATTTGACCCAGGTTACACAGGTAGAAACTAAACCAGAATTCAAATTAAGGCAATCTTAGTATAAAGACACCACACTATATCCTGTGGAGGTACTGTTTAATATATACTCTTACTGAAGCAACATAAAAGAACTCTGAAAAGAAACAAACCAGTATTTGTTGCTCAAAAGTTAATGGAAATAATGATTACTTGACAACTTCTGGTTATGCACTAAAATCCAGAACTCTCCCTATAAACAATAACCAAATCTCCCTGTTAGAATACTCATCTTTGTGTGTGTGTGTGTGTGTGTGTTTGCGCGCACGCACGCAAGCCCATGTGTGGGTGGTAGGAATCAAACTCACGACCTCAAGCTATCCAGGCAGGCGCTATGCTGCTGGGTTATATCCCTGGCAACAAATCTCCCTGTGTTAAACAATGTTTACATTCCACCACTCAGAAATAATTCTCATTATTACTAGTTATATAATCATTCCAGATATCTAATGCACTCATACAAACAGTATGCACAGACATCCTTTTGAAAAATGTGATGAAATATGCTATTTCTAATAAGAAGATAATTCAACAGAAAAAGTAAAAGAAGTGCTGATTTCTGTGGAAAATATATTCACAAAAAGCAATTTTCAGTTCCTAAAAAATTAAGATAAAGAAAATTATTATATGCACATTAAGGGATATGGTGGACTGGTCTACTATCATGAAAGATATGGATCTTAGTATTCTTATATCAATTCACACTTGATTTATATAACAAATGTTATTTGTTTATTGTCAAGACTTATAACATTTATATAGTGTGTTCCATAATCATAATTCTGATTTTACTTATTAGTTATATATTAAAGTCAGCCATCAACTCCAATACTTTCATGATATGACTTCAACATTCCTGAGTTCTGTACCCACACACTTTCCTTGGAATATTAAGTCAAATATTTTAAATTAATGGAACTAGAAGATCTAACGATGAATACATGGAATCTAAAGTATATCCTTAACACAATGCTTTAGAATTTTGACATAACAATAAAAAATTATGATCACAATAGTCTAGAATTCTGGCATAATAATAAGAGATAAACAGCATTTACAGAAAAAATTAGTCAAATTCAGCCCGGCAAATGGACTCAGCCTCCATTTAAATCCATCAATAATCTAATGTCAAAAATAAGTTCAGTTACATCAAAGACACAAAAACAATTGCTGCTGTGACTATCAAAGGATATACACTGAAAGCTCAGCAAACTGATGGTGAATGAGAAGAGAAAAACAAACTGTAAGGAGAGAAGCCCTCAGATCTTTGCTGTGTCTTCGGTGTCCTGGACCCAGCGTATCTTTCCTGGGGAAACACACTCGCGAGGACCTACTACTGTACTATGCTACAGTCTACAGACACAAGCATGATTGAAGACCCTATGACTTTAGAGTGCGGAATCAATAGTTCCTGAGGTTGATATTGTCATTCTCACTCCAGAGATTTAGTAAATTGCAACTCTGAGAAATGCACTCAAGTTAAAAGGCTGCTAAGTTTTAGAGGAGCGGGACTTTTTTAACTGCGTCTGACTTAACGATCTATGTTCATAAAATATCTGATCAATTGAGCATCATTTAGCATGCCTATTGAAAATACACTCTCAGGCCCCTCTTCTTGGTCAGTGTTTCAGCAGAGCTGAATGGAGCAGAAGGAGTCTGTATATAACTCAGATTCTTACAAGTGGGTTAAATTTGGAAAAGAACTACACACACTTCGTTGCAAAAAACTTCAAGCAAGTTCCTAAGACCAACAAAGTGCCGGTAATTTTTTCTTTTTTAAAAACTCCAGTGGAGAAAGAATGCACCCTCCTCCCCCAAAATCCCAATTAAATCCTTTCACCCAGAAGAAAAAAAATATCTTCACATTCATTTTCAGATGTGCCTCTTCCAGTTTTCTGCCAATCCTCAGCGATCCAAACTGCCAGGGCAGAACGCAATTCTCCGGCATCGTGACCCGACAGCACTCGAGGACCAACACCGCCAAGTCTTCCCGGCAGGTGCTGATTCACCGAGTACCTGCACCGGCGGGGGAAACCGGCAGCTGAACGCAAACCTCCGAACTTCTGAGATGCACGCGAACTCCCGCAGCACTTCAGTTACTCAGCGCGCGCTGCAGAGGCCGAAAGCAGAACCCAGACTCAGGTTCTCTCTACGGCACGCTGCTCCGGACCGGAGTGCCCGGGGCGCGGCGGCGGCAGGCGGCCCAGAGGCTCCGCCGCCCTCCGCACCGCCAGCGAGGGGCAGCAGAGCGGCCCGGAGGGCGGCGGGGGGCAGCGGCCCGGTCCGAACGCGGCCGGGAGGGAGCGCCGCCGCCCGGAGCTCGGGGACCACCGGCCGGACCCCGCCTTCCGCTGTCGGCACAAAACCCTGGCAAGGGCAACCGCTAGGCAGCGGTCCGCCAGAGGCCTCATGTTCAGCCGGTCGCCTAAACTCACCAGCGGACCCACCGACCTCGGAAGCGGGAACAGCGAGGATCACCGACACCTGCAACAAACAAGCGACCCCAACAGGAGCGCGAAGCCTGAGGACCCGGATGCAGATACTCGCAGGAAGGGACCGCGGCGCAGACGCTGCGCGTGCGCGCTGCCTCCAGCGCCTCTGGGAAGACTGGTGAGCTGTAGATGCTATCTCTGTGGCTGGTTGGCCTTCTTCCCTAGGGTGTTAAATCCCTGGGTTACCTCTGTGCCGTCAACCAGCTCCCTTGGAGGTTGACTAGTAGTAGATTCTTTAGATTTATTCTGTATGTAAAACTGTAATGCTCACACGTAGATATAACTTTAGTGGTTTTATAATGGCAATATAAATTTGTCTCTTTACTCCAAGATTGCATGTCTACTTTGCTAGCGCAAAGCCCGCTAAGCCTTTGTATTATAAAAGCTTGTTAAAATTAAATGTGCAGAAAGATACACTGCGGACCGTGAGAAATCCAGGAGCATCTCTGAAAGAGCAAGCGGGAGAGATGATAACAGCAAATGGCTTGTACTGAGTGGTTTCAAGAAAAGGGTAGAGGAAACAGAAATCATCATTAACAGGTATCACAGATCTTTGTTCAGGAGGAAGTCTATTAAGTAAGCAGCAATGGCTCAGAAGCACATAAGCTTTCTGCTCTAACTATATTCCATTAAAAACTTTTTGGGATTTTATTCAGAAAAATACACTAATTGCCTGCGTCAGTGACAGGCAGCCTCAAGATCCTAGTTTCCTGGAAACTGCTGTACATAGTTCAGATAAATGTAAAATATTGTATTCTCAAAGTTCTGATCTGAATTTTTGCACCTTGGTTGTAAATCAGGCTACTTCTTGGGGTCAAAATTCACCATCCTTACGTCCTTCAGGCAAGAGTGCGATACTCCATTCTCCCTGGTAAGACCTCAAAGACCGGAGTATCTCATAAACTGATAGAGGACAAGGTTTCTTATTATACCTTTGAATTAATTTTACAAAAGCAACCTTTGACACTTTTCTACTACTGTCCCTTGTCATCTCACAGATATTCATTTACTCTGATAAAAAATATCTGCAAGTAATAAAAAGAATTTTTCAACAAGCATAGAACATTTTGAAATATACTCTTTTCGATAAATGTCTTGCTTTGTGTGTTTCCAAGACAAGAGAAATAAATTTGGACTATGTAAATACTGAATGCAGTTAATTCTGCCTTGACTGCACTATGTCATGTCTGGCTGACACAGTTATAGTCAGCGACCTCATTGAGTCTACTGGTATTTATGGCAATTGTTTAGTTTTGAAGAGATCTCTCTTAGCATTTTCTTTTAATCTCTAGTTTTACCCTTGTGTTTTCATTAGGGCTGGTTGGGATAGCCAGTGAGCAGTCTTGAAGAACTGGTTTTTTAGTACGGACAGCAGGGAAATAAATCAGATTTTAAAAACCTGTGCACAGAACCAAAACAGAAGAAAAAAAGGAAGAGCTCAAAATATGTAAAAATGGACCAGTTGCTCTGTTTTAGGAATTTTAGGGCAGTTTACCTTGCCAAATTTTAAATTCAGTTTTGCTCAATACTTTTAGAACACAGTTTGTTAGAGGGTTCTTTGCTGTGCCAAGAATCCACATGAGGGAAATGTTTTGAGTCAGAGTAAGTTTTTTATCACGATTTCTTCCCAGAGTGTCACCAGTGGGCCAAATATCCCCTTTTATGTGTCTTGAAAAGACTCAAATGCCAAGGGATTTGGAATACCTCAAGCTGCTGGGCCACCACTCCCTGCATTTGCATTCTGACTATCCACTTTACATATTTCTATTTTGGCACATGAGAATTTGGTTAAAAAATGCTTTTTTAGATAACATTCCTTTGTAGTGCATGTAGATGCAATTTCCAGGTCTTGACTACCACTTTTAAGAGGTGTTTCTCCTCAGAAAAAATACTGGTTTCAAACACTGATTTGTGGTTGTAAAAGTTACGTATATATCCTCAATGTTAGATCCTTATTAATATAGATATAAATATTGCTCATTCTGCAGTTTGCCTTTTCATTTGTAAATAATGTCTGAAGACGAAACACTTTTACAATTGGTCAAGTAGGATTTATCTATTTTTTATTGATCTTGATTTTTGGTATGCTAAGAAATCATTGCATAATTTAAGGGCAAGAAGATTTATAGTTACATTTTATTCTAAAACTTTTATAGTTTTAGCTCTTTACACAATGCATTTAATTGATTTTTTTGTTCGTTTTTTTCTTCCGATACTGGGAATCAAACTCACGACCTTGCGCTTGCTAGGCAGGCGCTGTGCCGCTGACCTAAATCCCCAGCCCAGCTAAATCCCCAGCCCTGCATTTAATTGTTGTATAAAAAGTGTGATAGGAGTCCAGCTACTTCAGTTTTATTTTTAAATGAGGATTTCAGATGTGCCAACCTCATACAATGAAAAGATGATTCTTTCCCCAGTTAAATGGTATTGTCACACTTGTTGAAAACCAGTTGACCATACCTTACAGACTTTCGCTTCTATTCCACTGAGTTATATGTCTATCTTTATACTGTTCAGTATTGAGATTATGATAGCTTTATAGTAAGGCGGAGAATTTTAAAAAGTGAGTCCTCTGTATCTGTTCTTTATAAATATTGTTTTGGTTATTTGAAGTCCTTTGTATATTGATATGAATTTTAGAATCATCTGTGATGCTTTCTGAAAAAACTGTCATTGGAATTACATTGACTATATAGACCAATTTAGAGAATATTGCTTCTCAAACTCTATTATAATTTACAAACCATGAACACAGGATGTCTTTCCACTTACTTAGCTTTTCTCTAATCCTATAAAAATATTTTTCAATGTAAAATCTTGTACTTTCTTAGTTAAATTTTTTTCCCAGTACTTTTTGATGCCATTATTAATGGATTTTTCTCAAGTTCTTTATTTTAATATTAATAGTAATATTTATATTACTATTTGCTAATGTATAGAAATACCACTGACTTTTACATATTGCTCTTGTATGGTGTAATTTTGTGAAATTAGTTTATTACTACTAATAGTTGTGGGTGAGGATGTGTGTGTAATGTGTATATGTGAACTCTAGGATTTTCTAAATTAGAATTAAGCATCTTCAAATGATATAATTGCACTTTCTTTCCAATATGCCCAAATGTCATTAATTTTTCTTACCTATTTAGTGTGACTAGGGCTTCTACAACAGTTTTAATAGAATATCATTCTATTAAAGAATGGATACTATTATTATCTTGTTCTTAATCTTGGGGAAAATGTTTCAGTCTTTCACAAACACAATGTTACCTGTATGTTTTCACAGGTACCCTTTATTAGTTTGATGAGGACCTGTTCTAATTTGTTCAGTGCTTTTCTTATGAAGAATAATTGGATTTTGTTAAATGTTTTTCTATCTCTGGAGATAACTTTTAAAAATTCTACAAGTAATGTTTATATTTATTTCCCCACTTTGAAACAACATTATATACATTGAATAAATTCTAGTTTGCAATGTGTAATCTTTTTTATATGCTACTAGATTTGTTTTTTTCAATTTATTGAAGACTTTTCAGTTATATTTTTAATTGTCACTAATCTACAGCTTTCTCTTTTTTGTCATCTCTGTCTTACTTTGTATCAGGGTAATACTGACCATATAGAATAAGTTATGAAATAAACCTTTAGCTTTTTAAAACAGTTTGAGAAGGACTAATGTCAATTCTTATTAGAAGGTTCCAATGAAATAGTCTATTTCTGGGCTTCTTTTGGTTGTAAGTTTTTTGATGGCTGATTCAATCTCATGTCTTTGTCAATTTTATAGCATTTGAGTGTTCTATATAGACTTCTGGTTCTATATAAGTTAATGAAAGAGTAGAGTTGAAATTTTAAACAAGTTTGTAAACTTGTCTGCTTCTGCTTGCTGCTTTATTAGCATTTGTTTCATATCTTCTGAAACCATGTTATTAGGTGTGTAAACATTTAGCTGTTTATGTTGTTTTGATGAGTTAGCTACTTTATCGTTATGAAAGGATCTTATTTACATCCATAATAATATTCTTTGTTCAAAAATCTTTGATATTAATATGACCGCTCAAATTTTCTTTTGATTAGCATTCATATATTTTCCATTCTTTTACTTTTAACCTGGTCATATATTTATGTCTATAGATATTTTTATGAGCAGCATATAGTCTTAGTACATTTTCTGTCATTTAAGAGGTTTATTCAGCTCACACTTTGAAGGCTGAAAATACAAGAGCACGGCACCAGCATCTATTCATCTTCTGATAGGGGCTTTGCTTTTTGTCACGCCATGGTAGAAAAGCCAAAAAGGGAACCAGCACATGCAGAAGGAACACATGTGGAAAGGAGACTGAGAGGAGCCAGACCAATACAGTCCCGTGAGAGTTAGAACTCATACCCAGGAGAAAAACATTAATCCTGTTTCAGGGATCCAGCATGTCTCAAAATTAGAAACTAAGTGTTATCATGGGTTTTGTTGAGGACTAACCATATTCAAACCATAGCAGATGGTTATTGCTTTTTATAGGCCATTGATGTTTAATGTGATTACTATATGGTTGAATTAAACCTACCATCTTGATACTTCTTTTTATTTGTCCCTTCTGCTGTTTCTTTCCTTTCTCTCTTTTTTTTTTTTTTTTGGCTTTTTCTGGGATTGCATGTATTTCATGATGCTGTTTCATCTTTTGATAGCTAACTTCGGTGTGCTCTTTATTTGGTTTCTGTAAATTTATAGTGTATATCTTTGTCTATCTCTATTGATACCTTGTGACTTCATGTATGTTCTAAACACCAAACAAATCTAAATTTCCTTTTCTCTTTGTTTTTGTGCTATTATTTTCAGTTTTATTGTTATTTGTGCTTTAAATTCCATAATTCATCATTGTCTTTGCTTTGAAAGACAATTTTTTTGAAAGAGAAATAACTCATAGGAAGAATTCCTTGTATTTTCTCATGTGACATATTTTACATTTCTCCTTTGAAATTGTGCAAGGTAGAACATAATGGAACATTTTGAAGATTAAAGGAAAAAGTCAGTTTAGAATTCTTTATGTGAGAAACTGGTATTTTGTATTTCTATTTGTATAGGCAGGTTTCCTTTTTACCGTTTCCTTTCTACTTAGAGGGTTTCCTT